CCTTCGTTCTTCCATGGTCTTGACCCTCCTTTTTATCTTCAAGAATCTATTGGTTTTCATTCAAGTCAACATCCATTTTTATTAATCACATAGAAGTACTGAGAGTAGTATCTATGATCGTTTAAAAACACATTAAACACAGAAAGCATAAGTTGAGAAGAAAGAGTAAATTCAAAGATTAAAAGCGTATAATGAAATTTTAGAACTCAGGACCTAAAGAAATACGAAAAACGAATGACTCTTCACCGTTGTGACAAACTTTGATCGATGCCATCCAACATCATGATAATTGCGCAAACTCAAATTCATTAGCGAACACCTATCAATGAGCCTCAGTTCAACAGTCAATAACTTTATATACTAATGTTACACCTTGTTTTGTCTGCCCTAACTATATTCTAACCTATTCGTACACCAGTAAACGCCTTGCGTCAAAGCAGTCTATGGTTGAACTTATGTATCACATTTCCTCAACATGGTTGATGAGGATTCATAACTTCATCAACCGATTCATCAAATTCACCTGATAATTCGTCTATTACCTAAATGTTCCCGATTCAATTATCAGCTACTGTTCTGTTTTTTTTCCTTAATTGTCATTTAAATGGATTGAATTGTGCTGAGAAAAAGTCTTTTAAAATTAAATCGATCCCTCAGATTATCCCCTCGATCAAATAATAATCGTTTGCTCACTCCAAAATCAATGCCAGAAAATAAAGCGACAGTCTGTACCTTGTAGAGCTCAACATTACCAATCTTAATTCTTAACAAACAGTTTCAAATTAAACTAATCTATACAAAATCTCTAAGCTCAATGTTATATCTTTTCCACTTAAATCATTGTTACCATCATAATCATATCCCCTTTGTATAGTCGCTGTATTCATTATTTTCTTGACTGAAAACTCTTCATGGATCAAAATAATTTATCCAAGTACGGCTTGAAAGACCCCATCAATTCCATCCCTTTATTATCAGAAAACAAACAGCAAATAGAACCATATTCACTTGGTGTTGCTTACTTGTATCTTCTCATTGTTGTTTAGGACTGTAATTGATCAGTCACTATCCATCATTGTTTATAAAGCTTGTGACTTCAGGCAATATTAAGGCAGTCCGCACAAGACACACATATGCCAAAAAGAGACTGACCAATTGCAGTCTTAAACGCCAATGGGAAGATACAAGTAAACAACACCAAGTGAATATAACCACCCCGTGGCACAAACAGGTGACTATCAGCACTCAGTAGCTGAGTGGGTAACGCGATGATGTTTGAAACAAACGGTACTGTGTTCGAGTCCCAGAGTGAACATTAACTATGAGATGCAAGTACATCCAGTTGACGAGTCCTAAATAGGGCGAAACGTGAGTCATAGATTCTAATGCTAGCTACTATCCATCTTCGCTTACAAATAGAACCATAGTAACGAAATTTCTAAATGAATTTAATTCATCAATTAATGTCAAACTTACAACTGTCATTTATATTGGTTTACAAAAAAACAACATAAAAATGACCTTAAAAGTCAATTGAAATGATACAGTTCAAATATAATCAATAATTCATTGCACAAATTTGTTTCCTTATATATATATAAAGTATCGACTTCCCTTTGTTATCGGTACTTCATCTGTCTCTCGGATTACACTTTTAAGCCAAATACCTATATAATCTTGATCATACATAACGTATATATTGTGGAATAAGTGAGTATTTTCATACTTTATTATTGTCTATAACAACAAAGGATATTTTATTACAAGAATCAAACAGATTTATAATAAACTACTTATTTTAATACCCATGAAATACTTAATTGAAAGTTGAAATCATGAGTCAGTTGAATCTAGACCACCAGAGAAAACCTGGAAGCACTGGACGGCCGTTTCATCTTATTATGAGACTCCTCAGCAGTGCGCATCCACGATCCTGTACTCGCGAGATTCTCACCCAGGATCGTTTTATCATTATCGTTACCATGGCCTTAATATCATTATTATTATTATTATCATTCTTTTGTTATTATCATTATTATTATTACTCCATTCCCCTTTATTTATATCTTATATTTTCATCATTTTATTCATGAATACTCATCATATCACCTTATTTATTTTTACACCTCCATGAACTGGATGCGCGACGCTGAGGAGTCCCATAATAGGACAAAACGGCCGTCCAGTGCTTCCAGGTTTTCCATGGTGGTCTAGCTTCAATTGACTCATGATTTCAACTGTGAAAAATACTGAAATCTCCACACAACCCCTTCTGACTTAATTGAAAGTTTAACAGTTTAAGAACTGCCTCACTTGATGAAAGTTGGAAATATGTTGAATTGAATACTAACTTTATGGTCTATAGGTTATATGTACATCTTGAGATCTACTTACTATACAATGGATAATAGTAGTGAATGAACACTGTTAATGAGTCATTATCCGAAACGAAACAACGGTCAAGAACCCTTTGATTTCTAGTGTCTTCCTAGTTTTTTATCCAAATTAATAGATTTATTTATTGTAAGAATGCAAGGAACACACTCATGTGTAGATCCAGATTTAAGTTAGTCTATAATTGGCATATTCAATTGAGATTAAAATTTCTTTATAACATACTTTGTATATCAACTAAATGTTAGGTCAACTTTTCTTTCTATGGAGATGTTATAACGTGTGAGTGGGTGCGTACCCCGTTTGATATATGAATGTGCTGATGCCCGCCAATAAGAGAGCAGTGAATTTGTTGATCGGAGCAATGATACATAAAATCGTACGAGCAGTCTTGATTACTTGTCGGTCCTGCTTTCTACCTAGCCCAGCCAGTTAAGTTCAGAACACCAATAACAGCCTCGACAATATGAATCATTATTTACAAACACACTGGGATTTTATACCAATCAAACAGACCACATCGTACCATAAAACAGAAAATAATATTTGTACAATAATTGACCAAATGTGGTTGTGAATAGGGGAAAAGTAATCAAGTAAATGTTAGATAAGATCAAATAGAATAAATATATTCTGCTTCTGTAAACACTGATAGTCAGAGTGTGATCTCATCTGAGATAATATTTGAAACCGGAGGGACATTAGACAGCTGTTTCGTTCATTTATGGAATACTTCATAAGTATGCACACCCTAATCTACCAACGAGCAAAAGCAGGACGTACTACTAGATTTCATTCAATAAATAAAGATCTAAAGCGAAGATATGGATTTCTAAGTAATCACTAAATTACTATTATAACTTGTGGCGTTGTGCCCCTATCATTATATGACGTAATTATACCGCCAATTAGACAACAGTGATTTATCTACAGCACCAATCAAGTCTAAACCCGTACAAACAGTCTACAGTATTTATCGGTACAACTTTCTGCCTAGTCCTACCTGTTAAGTTCAGAAAATCAACCTCGGCCCCCACGATATTTCTTAAAATTAACTTGGTACTATAATTTTTTAAGCTTCCATAGACATTTATCTTTACTTGTATTTATATTATGTTATTGTGTTTGGTCACATATTGATAATAGGCAATAATTTGTAACATTGAGATTCATGGCATATTTCAATTTATCCTTTTTTCTCATATCCCTTAACTAATACAGTCAAAAGAACAGTTTTTTTTTCAAAACATCTATCAAAAGTCATTTAGTATTGTTTGCCGGTATCTTCCCAGAATGAACATCAACTCTGAGATGCAGATACATCCAGCTGACGAGTCCCAAATGGGACGAAATGTGCGTCCTGAATCCCACTGCTAGCTACCATCCATCCATGCTTATACTCAACAAAAGATTATGCTTTATTTTCAAAAAAAAGAATTCTTAGCATTTTAACTAGTTTTATAAACAAATATGGATAGTGGTTAGCAGTGGAATCCAGGACGCGCGTTTTTTCCTATACTGGGACTCGTCAGCTGGATGTACCTGCACCTCACAGCATATGTTCACTATGGGACTGGAACCCAGTAGCGTCCGCTCCAAACGCCATCGCGTTATCCACCTAGCATATGACTCCACCCAATATCGAGGCAGTCTGCACAGGATGCATATATGCCAATAAGAGACTGATCAACTGTAGACTTAAATAACAATGGGAAGTACAAGTAAACAGCAACAAGTGAATATAACCACCCCGTGTCACAAGCAGGTGGCTATCAGGACTCAGCAACTGAGTGGATAACGCGATGTTGTTTGAAGCGGAAGGTACTGGGTTCGAGTCCCAAAGTGAAGATAAACTCTGAGTTGCAGGTACATCCAGCTGACTGGTCCCAAATAGGACGAGACGCGCATCCTGGATTCCACTGCAAGCCACTATCCATCTTTGTTTATAATGCTTGTGAATTAAGGCTATATCAAGGCATTCCGCACAGGATACACATATGCCAACAAGAGACTTATCAATTGCAATCTTAAATAACAATGGGAAGATAAAGGTAAACAACACCGTGGCTTTAACTAGCTACTTATTTAAATTGTCCATCTATTGTTATCATGGAATCTTATTTAGAACAAGATTATATTCTGACATTTCAAAGAATAAGTCATATAAAATTTAAAGAAAAATATACCACAGTTACTGACCATAAATATAAACATAATTAAAACAAAATGATCATTATCATTCTAATGAAATATCATATTCCATTGAATAGAATTGTTTATTCTAATCTAAAATATATGACCCCTCTCATCAATTTTAATAATGAATACATTCAATGTGTATTTATCGGTCCTATTCACAATGTTTATATATAAATAAGAAAAGAATTTTGATCAATATCAATATGTTACCATGACAAATTATCTTTAAATCATATTAAATATCTTTTTCTAAATATTCTATAAACCTGATTACATTATTCAGTTTCATAGATAGTTTTATTCTTTCCTACATATTCTGGAATTATATCCTTTTGTTTATTTTAAATTGACATTATTTACCTAGTAACTAAATTCCCTACAGGATTGAATGATATTTATATTCTAATATGAAAGTGTCTAATTTAACCAATACATACCTTAGATTTGATGTAAAATTTATTTTACAATGTTTAGTTCCTTCTATTAGTATAGAGTAAGTCAGATGAGTTTTTTTTTAAAAACATAGAGAAATATATAAAATAGATAGACTAGAAGAGGAATCTAGGATAAGAATTTCGTACAATATGAGAGTTATCTGCAAGATGTATCTCCATAGCGAAGTTAATGTTCACTTTTGGAATAGAACCTGGTACCTGAAATTCAGGTACGTTAGGATGACGAGTCGTAAATGGAACAAAACATGAGTTCTGGATCCTTATACTAGCCACATTCTATCTATTATATATAAACTTGTTTCACAATTGCCATATCGAGGCAATTCGCACAGGATGTTCACGTTTTAACTAAAACTGTCAAAAAACTTGAGTCGAAATACTGATAACTGTATCATTCAAACCATTATAAAGTACAGAGAAATTATACGATTAATGAGTTGAGTTGTCTAACATTTGAAACTATCACTATTCATCAAAAATAAATTAGTTTTAGTGAATTGACAGTTGAAGGATTGTTGAATGAATCTGATTTACAATCGCTTGTTCACGAGTTTCAATCATATTTCACCTACTTTCTACTGCATTTCATACAGTAAGTAAGGACCTAGAACGAATATGTGGATTTCTAGCTAATCACTAAGCTAATGTTACAATTTGTGGCATTGTTCCCCTATCAAATATAACGTATATAAACACAGTAAATAAACAAAAGCACACTGAATGTATTCACTTTTAAGATCGATGAGAGGAGTCACGTATTTTAGATTAGAATAAACAATCCTATTCCATTGAACATGACATTTCATTGGAATGATAGTGACGATAATGATCATTCTGTTTCACTATGTTTATATCTGTGGCCAGTAATAGTGGTATTTTTCTTCAAATTTTATATGAATCATTATTGCGATAAATTTCTTGTGAGACAGAAGGACTGAAAGACAAGAATTCTTATTTAGTGTATATTTTCGTAAGGAACATTATATTTTTGTCATATTGATTGATTAGAGGCCTTCTTGTTAAGCCACTTGATACATCAGAATACTCCTTACTAGTGCATACACAAACAAATTACAGACATCGATTCACTAATTGAAAGGCATCATACTTACCAAAAGATATAAATACTATAGCTTCTTGATGGAGTTTTGTTCTCTGAGCTGGATGGTTTTGTCGTGGAGATTTCATCGTCCTTCTGAACAACATCATCAACACAAACTTCAGGTAGAAGTGAAGTGTTTGAATTTCTCCACATGGGATTCACAGCTTGTACTGATGATGTTGTTCAGAAGGACGATGAAAGCTCTACGAACAAACCATCCAGCTCAGAGAACAAAACTTCATCAAAATCATTCACCTCAGTTACAAATCTTCTCCACCATACTAAAGCTTCAATCTCAAATAATATTACATGCACAAACAAAATTAAAAGGACTCTGCATGAACTCTTAAATAATTTTTTCAACAAAGATCACACAGATTGATATGCTTAGTTTGTTTCGAATCTTCTAGATATCGATATTTTCATACCTATTTATATAAAAATATATATCTGTATATAATAAAAGAATAACAAATGGATTATGATCATATAAGAAAGCCTGTTGCCTCCGACAAATACAGACGAAGACAGTAAATGTAGCAACAGCCTCTCCATCAATAGGTCTCAACATACACCAAGTAAAAAAAAATTCTCAAGTACAACACGGAGAACACCAACCCAATCACACTTGATGGCGAAACTCTGGAAGATGTGGAAACATTCAAGTACCTGGGGAGCATCGTTGATAAACAAGGAGAATCGGACACAGATGTAAAGGCGAGGATTGGCAAAGCAAGGGCAGCATTGCTACAATTGAAGAACTTATAGAACTCAAAACAACTGTCAACTAACTTCAAAGTGAGAATCTTCAATACGAACGTCAAGACAGTCCTAATGTATGAAGCTGAAACGTGGAGAACTACTACGACCATCATCAAGAAGTTACAAGTATTTATAAACAGTTGTTTACGCGAAATACTCAACATTCACTGGCCGGATACTATTAATAACAGAGTTTTATGGGAGAGGACAACTAGCTTCTAGATGGAGAGGAAATTAGGAAAAGACGCTGGAAGTGGATCGGACATACATTAAGAAAATCACCGAACTGCATCACTAGGCAATCCCTAACTTGGAATCCGGAAGGGAAGCGAAAAAGAGGAAGGCCAAAGAACACATTAAGCCAGGAAACAGAAGCAGATATGAAAAGGATAAATAACAACTGGAAAGGATTGTTGAGAACAGGTCTGGATAGAGAATGCTGGTGTGCGGCCTGTGTTCCTCTACGAAGAGTAACAGGCGTAAGTAAGTAAGTTTTGCCTCCTAACTCCCTCATTATTTAACTATGTTTTTTTCTTCATAGAAATCATGACCATTAATGTAGAAAATGATAATAATTCAATAAAACATGAAGATATTATAGTTCCGTCATTTATTACAACCCTTGATGAAGACAATAAGAATTTAATCGATAATAATGATCGATCACCAGAACTTGATCAAGAATCAAGGTATATATTACAGAATATACATATAATAATAATAATAATAGATCACATCAATCAAGATCATTAAAACGAAATCACTCAATACATAGTTTAACAACATCTCATAAACCCTATAATGAAACAACATTGAAAACGTCTGATAATCAATTAATTATACCGAATTCAATTGGTATACCACATATTATTGGTAATGGATTGACAACAAATAATGATGTTATAATACAATCATCAATGAAATCAGATTTACGTCAAATAAGATTTCCATCAGTTGATAGAATTCCAAGTAGATGTATTTATATTAATTTGTAATATATATTAAGTGTAATATGTATATATTTACAAATGTAACATTATTTGTAATCATATACTTTATATATTATTAAGCAATAAGTGAATTCATGAGTCGATTCAAGCTAGACTATCATGGAAAACCTGGACGGTCGTTTTGATCTAGTATGGGACTCCTGAGTAGTGTGCAACTACGATCAGGCTTACGGGATTCGAACCCAGGGCCTATAGGTCTTGCTTGGAAACATTTAATCTGTGGACTCCTGAGCTGGTATCCGACTGTGTTAATGTCTAACATCAACAAGTTTTCACGAAACCTCCTTCTAATAATAATTATCATGTGCCTACTAGTGGCTGATTTCAAGATGTATTTCCTAGATTTCTAATGAGAAGCCATGACCAGTAGATTTCAATTGGATCTGTTGTGAGATGGCTCGATTTTGTGAATCGGTTGAAGTTAGGCATTAACATTGTTGGATGCCGGCCAGTTCAGTGCTCTAGAGGTTAAGCGTCCGCGCGCGAGACCGATAGGTCCTGGTTTCGAATCCCGTGAGCACGATCGTGGATGAACACTAGTGAGAAGTCTAATACGAGTACGGAACGGCCGTTCAGTGTTCACAGGTTTTTCATAGTGAACCAGCTTTAACCGAATCATGAATTTAACTATTAAATTACTAAAATCTCCACAAAACCTCCTTCTGATGATAAATGGACTAGAAAACAAACTGTGGATAACTGATTATTGAATAAAACAAGGTTTCATTATCCGAATATTATGTCTTTGAATACTAGGTTTCCAGATGTTAATGAATATTTACATGCAGTTGATTAGCTTGCATATCTGATTACCTTGATAATTTTGAAAAAGAAAGGTAGATGTAAATAAGCTCATATTAACAACAAACAACTAATTAACCATATTTGAATGTAAGGTAACAAAATTCACACCAGTTGTGCAAGTTATCAGCTATTTGACCTAAATATCTTAGTCGGTAATGTATTGGTGTTTAAAGTGAAAGCTATTCTGCCCAAGTACTAGTTGAAATATCGGGAGTGAGATGTTGCATATACATTTAGCTAAATAGTCCAAATTTGACGATCAGTCATTATAAGTAGAGTATAGAGAAGTTTACAGCATGCTTTCTTGTTGTTTACACTGATCTGGTCTAGAAAAGTTTGGTAACAATCATTTTTAGAAATAAGCTATGCCTTCCTAATTATCTCCAGTTGTTTAAAGCTTAATATCAGAGGGTAACTTCGGTATTAAATTAATCAATCAAATTTGATAGAATTAAGATTATTTTATATCACTCAGATTTAGAATGTCTAGGACCGGAAATGAAAACTATCTACTGAACTACTACTTATATGTATCAAATCACGATCGAGAAAACATTACAATTCCAATTTCAGAAAATGCTACAAATCTGAGAGAATTTCTAAATGCAGCCTATGTAGGGTTATTCCTCCGTCGATAAACATAACTATAGAGATCCAAGTTACCATTAACTGGGTCAGAGGTCAGTCAAAAAGAAAAACGATAATAGAAATCCAAAGACATATGAGCATAAATAATGAGATGGTGGTTGGAGGTGGTCAACAGCAATCCCTGTACTTGGGTTTCGTGCTATTTAGCACTCGTCAGCAAGGTGTACCTGTAATCTTGAGGGAACTGGTGCTCCCTGACAGATTCGATCTAGTGTCACTCAGCTTCACTGTCAGAGATGTTACCACTGAGCTATTCGGGCCTCAACCGAGCCACCTAGACTAGTGGCCGCATTGCTACTTGATCGATAGCATTCGATCAACACCAAGAAGGACTTAACACGCATGACATGGATCACCACCCAGTGATCAATCAATAATGAACATAACTAATCCTGTTAGAAAATCACCAATCACAAACAATGTGATCTACATGAACTAATTCAACATTAGTGGAATAGAAAAGATATTTGCTTCTATTTTAGTTTAGTCTCTCACAATTTCATCCAGAATGGTAATGAAAGTGCACCACATTGCCAAAAGTATTAACCTGACTTGTAAATCTCACTCATAAAAGAAATGTGGTCATTCAGATTTTTCAAATCTCTCTACTTTTAAATAAGTAATAATGATATCATTTTAATTTTCAATTTGTTTTAGATTCAAGTACTAAACGGACTTCAAGAATTTCAACGTCTACATTTTCAAGTAATCGAAGTACAATAAGTAGTAATGCACGATTCGATATTGATGAGGTATGTACTGAGTTTAAAATAATTGGTTGTTCTACTTCAGACAACTCACTGATTTCAAATATTTATGGGTAAAATACCAAATCGATCTTAGACAACCATTGAAAATCTATCAGCACTGTATAGTCGTTTCGTTCTATCGTGTTACTCTTTAGCAGTGCGCAATCACTTACTTCATCTTAGGATCAAACCCAGAATCTTTGTCTTGCAAGCAAACTTCAAACCTCTATACCACTGACCCTGCATTCAAAGCACTCGCTTACGAAACTGAAGGTCCTGGGTTTTATTTGCCTATGCAGAGTAGTAGATATCCACTGATGAGGAGCCAAATACCAAAACGAAACGGCCACCCAGTGATTCCAGGTTTTCGGTGGTTGCCTACCTGAAATCAATTCTTGATTTGAACTATTCGAATTCGAATTATTCATAATTTTTGAAGAATAACATTTCTAAACGTTTTCTTACCAAACTCAGTAACTACAACCTTGAACACTTCATGAAGTATATAATAATTTTTCTAATCAGTAAGTGACTAGACATCCTTTAAACTGAACTTTATGAACTCAGTCAGGTAATCTACTGCTCTACATGTAGACAAAAGTCTATAATTTTTAGATCACATAACAAACTGTGTTATTTAACAAACAAATGAGATAGTTTTTGATAGACCTTCTAGTTGCACGCTAGATTTGCTTCTTAAGCTCTTCTAGTCACCCCCAGGATAAATCTACACAGCGAATTGAACACAAGAGAAAAGGCGCAAAATGTCGAAGAAACGCTTTATGTACAGAAAATCTGGGACTTTTTATAGTATTTTAGATAGCATTGAGTTTCCGGGAAATTCTGGAACACTGCTAAACATAGTAGCAGTATAGGTAATCATCCAATCAATAACTCGACATGTGACTTTTCACTTTCTAGATGTTTCTGTCAAAACTCCTAGTAAATGTTGATTGGATAAGATGCTTCTCAGTGTTTTCAGAGCCTTTGTTGGCTTTTTTCGAAGAGTTTTCCGGATCTCTCGAACAGTCTTTACGAAACAAAAAAAATCACCGAAATATAGTCTTCGTTAATAAAACATCATTTGATAGTATATCCAAATATTTTTTATTTTATTAAGTTGTTTAGCAATATAACTTACTAGTTTTCAACAGTTTATTTCGGTAAGAATTGTCTGTATGAGGGTGTCTTTGAATTAATCCAGAGTATAGCTACATTTAAATTAAACACTTAAAGAAATCCTGTTTGACCGAAAAAGCATGAATGAAAAGGATAGTTATGTTGAAGTGAACGAGAACACAATTGGGGACAATCGAATGTATTTGAATACAAGATTACAGAATCTTTTAGTAAATTCTGAGAGCTATATAGTTAATACTTCATTTGCGAAATGTCAATTAATCGTCTCAGACTTCATTGTTCCTTCGTTTCTACACCAATCATTCTTTGTTCTCGTTCTTTTTTCTTTGATCTCCTTAACCTTCTGCCTCCAGGCATTTCACTTTCGATTGATGATACATACTACTTATATCTATCGACATCAGTAGCACACACCAAAATAATATTGATCTTTAACACAATGAATATGATGTTAGTCACTTAATTGCACTCATTAGATAATCCTGAACATAATTTTACAATCTTTAAAGAACTGGTAGTCCCAATTGAGTGTAAATCCATATTATCAAATGTATTAATTTTTTGTAAATGGATGCTTTTTGATTGCTTTTCTTCCATATTTACATTGACAGATGAAGTTTCGGGGGTTTTTGAATTTGTATTAAATTAAATCAATGTTTACTACATTAGTTGGATTTCGAATCACTTCGCAATAGTAATGTTTCTCAATGAGAAATCAACAAACATCTATATTTTGTATTACTTACTTACTTACGCCCGCTACCCCTCGTGAAGGAGCATAGACTGTTCGCTAGCATTCTCCATCCAACTCTGTCATGGGCAATCCTTTCCAGTTGCTATTCTTCCTTTTCATATATGCTTCCGATTCCCTGACTTAGTGTGTTCCTTGGTCTTCCTCTTTTCCGTTTCATTTTAGGATTCCAATTTAGGGCTTACCTCGTGATGTAGTTTGGTGATTTCCGTAATGTATGTCCGCGTATTTGAATGTTAGCGTTACTGACCACTTATATTTCAATTATATATGTTATGAACAATGTGGAACTTATAACTTCCTATCTGTGTATAACAATGATTGATTCAGTCGAAATATTTCTAATGTATAACCTAATATTTTCGAACCCTTCTGTTATGCCTGATGTGTCATCATTGTTATCTACTAGTCGCCACTGTTTTATCTGAGATCGTCACTCTTATACAGGTACTGACCTTGTTGGGTACTGTTCTCATGCTTAACAATCGGAAACTAGCGCACGTCCGCCAGACTACTACTTACATTTGAAAACTGGAACCATTATGATTCCCACGATTCAAAGTAAAAACACGAAATAATGATGCAGTGAAAATTTATTGGCTCTCCCGAAAAAACATGCCTGAACAAGTCCTAAAATCATAACCAAAATAACCTTGTTTTTTTCATCTCATCATATGAAATGTATTGACTATTATAATATGATACTTAAAGTTTCTAACAATAAAAGCTGAAAATAAAGTCATTACATCCAATCGTACATTCATAAATAAGTTGATCTTCTAAAAACCAATGTCTAAATCTGAACGACTAGTTTTGTATTGGCTAAGAACCAAGTTAAATGAAAGACATGAAAAAACAAACTTATTATATTTGCAAAACTCTCAATGACTGAAATTAAACTCAGTTCAACTTTTCACACTCAGTAACCTGATCCAGGCATCTTGAGGCAGCAAAAGTTTTTTCTTTAAATAGCCGAAATTATTAACAATCATTATATATATATATATAAGTACATTTAATCCTGTTCATTCGACCCGCTTGCTCACTCACTACCTTGTTCTTCAGCACTCGAATATCAGTCTTATTTCATGTGCCTGTGGGTCAGAGTGAACTGTATGTGGTGTGATAATAAACGCTTCGTATTCGTCTTCTAGTTTATATACCGTTGGGGGAGGGCGTTATCTAGTAAGGATTATCAGAATGAGCAGTATTCGAAGCCTAAGAATTATATCGATTACCAACCGCCACAGTTTTGTTTGAAATTAAGAAAATATTCCGTTTTTGTTTTCTTTTATAATTATAATTTGTTTTTTTACAAAGTGAAATCTAGAGTTAATAATTGGAAAAAGAAAGTTTGACAATTGAATAAATGCAACATCTTGTAGATCACCAACGTAGATGATCTACGTCAAATGATTAGACGCCTGTTCGAGTTAAACGGGAACGGTGTAAAGAATCAGCTAACTTCGAAGTCACACCTCACGATCAGTATCTAACGTCGATTACCCCTTCGATGTATTAAAGTACTATGGCTACTTTGAAAACTGTATAACACAAAGGGGGTGATTACTTAAATATATTAGTAAGAATGAGTACAAAGATGTTAGTGAGATCACCATCATATGGGCTAGTCCATGATGTATGATTAACTAATACTCGTTGATTGTCCTTAACGTTGACAAAGATTGAGGATCTGTTCGATATTTAGTGACCCAAATGCTAGAAAATTTGACTAGGGCTCTGTGATATTTCATTGGCCCCTATAATCTTCATCTTTAATAAAACAAAATTTTAAACTGATTAATAATGAAAATCAAAAAAGGGTTTTGTAAAGATTTCAGTATTTTCATAGTTGAAATCATTAGTCAATTGAAGCTAGACCAACATGGAAAACCGAAAAGCAATGAACGTGGATGTGCACTGTCGAGGAGTCCCACAATAAAACAAAACAGCCTTCCAGTGCTTCCACGTTTTCCATGATGGCCTCGATTCAATGGACTCATGATTTCAACGATGATTAATCATTATAAAAATAAACTAATTCATTCACTTATTTCTTTATTAATTTATATTCATCTACTTTCAGATGATTTTTACTCTTCATGAAAAGGCGATTCATAATTATCGTGAATTACGTTATAATTTTATTATAAATGATCCAATGGGTATAGGTAATTTACGAAGGTAATGGATCTGTTAATTTATGATATATATATTTTATATTATTTATATTCATTTAAAGTACAAACAGATGAATAGAATGTATTCTAGTGAACAACTAGTGGGAACAATCGAATGTATTTGACACGAAAATTACAGATTATCTTACTAAATTCTGATAACCATACAGTGAACCGGTAATATGTAAAATAACAGCTAATTGTCTCAATTTTAAATGTTCCTTCCGTAAATATCAGTTCATCTTCTCTAATTTCATTGTTCATGCATTTTCTTCATTTCAGTCCTTTTCTTATCGGTCTTCCGCCAAAATACATTCTATGACTGACCCTAAACATATACTACTTATATGGATATAAGTAGACCACACTAAAGTATCACCCTTTTCCCTTCTGTTTCAATATTCAATTTATTCAAAGAGATAAAGAGACAGTGAGTAGCTATGCGAATGGATTTTAACCAAGTGAGGATAACATTGATGAACTGCTGAGATGATCTACATCGAGATATGAAATCGATCGTTACTTTTTTTCAATATGAATATTGATTTTATATGATACTCAAGTATAGCTATGTGTTACTAAGATAAATACTGAACTCTTGAATAGACTTAATATAAAGACTAGGAAATTTAATAGTTGAATTCATGAGTTAATTGAAGCTAGGCCATCATGGAAAACCTGGAAACACTGGACGGCCGTTTCGTCCTATTGTAGGACTCTTCAGCAATGCGCATCCATGATATGACATTTAGTTTATTCAACAACCAATAAATGTATCTGAATAGACTCAATCTGTCATCCAATAAAAATTTCATAAACAGAAACAAGGCCATAAATCACTCTAGGGACGAAGGGAGTGAGAGTTCATACATTGGCTACAATTTGTCACATGTTACGGGAATGAAACAAGATTTTAGTTACTTGTCAAGAAACTTTACCAACTCATTTTATCAGTATAAGGTTGTGACGTTTGTTGAATTTAGATTAATATCGTGAATGAATCAGTGTTAGACCATCATTAAAAACCTGAAAGCACTGAACGGCCATTTCGACCTAGTATTGGACTACTCAGTACTGTTCATCCACGATCCCATACCAAAAGGACTCAAACCTAGGACATTCTGTCTCGAGCGCCAAAGCTTAACCTTTAGACCATTGAGGGGGGTATTAATGTCCTACTTCAGCCAACCATCCACCATTGTCATCAGTGAGTAGCTGCTTCACAACAAACACAGTTGAACTCCACTGGTCACGGCATCTCACTAAAACTCGGAAAACTACTCGAAGCTAATCACTAGTAAGCATATGATAATTATCAGTATAGGATTGTGGAGATTGTTGAGTTTAGATTGACATTATGAATTGATCAATGTTAGGCCACCATTGGTAAGCACTGAAAACCGTCGAGTGCTTCCAACTGTAACTGAGACTCATATAAAAAGGAATCATTTCACACTAATTTCTTTTCTCAATATGTACTGCAACAAAATAACAGGTTATCTTCTCTGTCTTCTATCTGTAATGTCGTTTTAAACTATCATTAAAAATTTAAAAGCTGCTATAATAAATCTAATTAGCTTGTCCTTATAGCGAACATCTTAAACTACAAACCCTTATTGTACCCTAAAGTACAATCTTTTATCAATCTAGATCAACTAATGTCTACCCTATGGTGATTACTTACTTACTTACGCCTGTAACCCCTCGTCGAGGAGCATAGGCCGCTCACCAGCATTCACCATCCAACTCTGTCCTGAGCCTTCCTTTTCAGTTCTTTCCAATTGTTATTCATTGTTTTCATATCTGCTTCTATTCCCCGAAGTAATGTGTTCTTTGGCCTTCTTCTTTTCCGCTTCCCTTCCCCTAAGGTGATAATTACAAATTTTTCTAAGATGACTCAAGCGCTTTGTCAAGTCTTAACTTTTAAAGAAAGATATGAGAAATACAGCTTTCTCTGATCTACATTCACCTCGGCATACCTTTCAAATGAAAATATCAAATATGAGTAACAGGAAAAATAATCGAAGGCCTCAGGTTCAATCTCTGCCAGTAGTTTGGTGGATAATTACCGCTGAATAGTCTCATACAAGAACGAAATAGCAATCTAATACTTCTACATTTTTAACAATTGCTTAACTTAAATCAGTTTATGATCTCAATAGGAAAGAAATTATTTCTCACACAATATTACATAATTATATTTAACTTAAATAAACATTACTCTTAAATTAAATTATTATGCAATAATCCCAGCTTTCTTTAATACATTTTTGTTAATTTCAATAGTTGAGATCATGAGTCAATAGAAGCTAGATCACCTTGAAAGACCTGGAAAAACTGGACGGCCGTTTCTTCCTATTGTGGGACTCCTCACAAGTGCTCATCCACGATACCGACTCGCGAGATTCCAACCCAGGACCTATCAGTCTCACGCGTGAGCGCTTAACCTTTAGACCACTGAGCCGGTCGGCATCCAACGGTGGTAATGTTTAACTTCAAACAATGCACAAAATTGAGCGACACATCCACCATTGTCTTCAGTGAGTTACTATCACACGAAAGACTCCGTTGAACTCCAATGGTCACTGCTTCTCACTAGAACTCCGGGAAATACCTCTTGAAGCCAGTCACTAGTGATCGTATGTTAATGAATATCAGACTCATGATCTCAACTACTGCACTTTAAAAATACTCGAAGGTATTAATGTAACGGTTAATATCATTATTGATTTCCTTTTGTCTTAAAATTGTAATTATTACTACCCTCAGATAAATTCAAACTTATTTAATTATATAATTGAACAAGTGTACTGGTTATAAATATGTAACTTTGGTAGCCTTGTGCCCCTATCAATATATGAAATAATGATACCGCCAATTGGAGAACAGTGATTTATAGACAGCACCAATGACACGTAAACCCGTACAAGAAGTCTAGAGTATTTATCGACCCTTCTTCCTGCCTAGTCCTACCTGTCAAGTTCAGAACACCAATCCCAGCCCCCACAATATGAATCATGTATTTCAAACATACTGGGTTTATATACAAACCAAACAGACCATATCGCACCACAAAACAACAGCCATAAGTGGCTGTGAATGTAGGAGACTGTCATTAATCGACTTAGTATAACTTAATAACAGTAAATCGTATAATACTAGTTAGACATTAACACCAATGGATGCCGGCTCAGTGGTCTAGAGGTTAAACGTTCTCATACAATATAGAGGGTCCTGGGTAAAATTCCTGTGTGCAGGATGGTGGATAAGTCCTATTCTAAGAGGAAACGGCCATCCAGTGCTTCCAGGTTTTCAATGGCGGCCTAAAATTGATCAATTTTGGATTTCGACAAAAACAGACAATCTCCACAATGAAAATGACTCAGATAGTACAGATTATTGGTTGAAAATCGAGGATAGATACAAATATGCCACTGAAATAGTCACTTATTGATTGAAGTACTTACTTGTTAATAATTAAGTCGAATATTAAAACCCCCAGTTAGTATCATAATCTGAGCTATTACTAATGAATTATTTAGTAAATGCTTGATCACCAGTAAGACCGATATGCTTTATTATTTGGTTATATTATTCAGTCTGATTGATGATGTTCTAATTAAAACACAGAAAACATTTTGTCTGTTAAAATTGTAAATTCTGTAACTGAATCAATACTAAGAGTTTGAATATGAGATATGGATTATTTATCAACCGTCCAAGTGAACGAATCGATTTTTTTGTTTATTTGCCCATCACTTCTTTTTAACTTGGAAAGATTGGGTTTTCATGATCCTTTAACTACTGTCCAGTTACATGTTGTAATACTAACTTCAAAATAGTGTTTGATTTTCAGTTTGGGGTGATAGAAATCATTAAATTTCATCGAAATCCTGAACCGATCAATGTTAGACCACCACAGAAAAACCGAAAACACTGGACGGCCGTTTCGTCTTAATAAGAGACTTCTCAGTAGTGTAAATACACGATCCCTCAAGACCTTAGATCTTACCTGCAAACGCATAAATCCTTATATTGGTCGGTTCATGATTTTCATGAAATGGTTTGATCATTTCACAAACTATGATATTTCTTATTTTGAATCATCTATTAATACGTTGTTAGAACTTCATTAAATCTTGCTTAATTCATTACTGTAAAATCATCCATTCCATTTCAAACTGAATATATTTCCCAATATTATGATTTAGATTTATAAATTTTGCTGAGGAAATTAAGTTTTCTAGTTTTTACCATAGACTGATTCTAGCCAGATAACCAATGAAGGGTGGAAGTCATTGGATAGTCATTTTATCCTTGTATGGAACTCCTCAGAAGCGAGTATCTAGTGACTTCACTAAGGACTGAACCTAGAACCTTTAAGTTTCTTAGTAAACACTTAATCTTTAAACTATGGGCAGACACTTAATGATTTATATGGTTGTGCAATATGTCGAATTTGTGGAAATTAGACATGTGAACAGTTAGATACCGACTAAGTTGCCTAAAAAGTAAGTGTTTTCAGAGAGACATAAAGAATCTTTATGTTAAACTGCCTGACTAAATGAGACTTAACAGTGTTTAACTTATTAAGTAATCCAAAATAATTTGGGAAGGCTGCCTTTCCCAGTCAGGTCAAGTTTAAGAATTCCCCTATGAGAGACAATCTTCAAGAAACCTTGTATCCAAATACTGTTCAGATGAATGTTAAATAACATGACCCCTTACAATCAACGTGTTTGTTAATTAACTGGTTGCATACTAATGGGGTATCCTATACTAAGACAAAATAACTATCTAGCACCCTAACTATGATCTATCTGTAACGAATACAACCTACATATTTATTGAATGTTTAAAAATATTCGTCTTCATATTTTATCTCCTACATGGTTTCTTTTGTTTTTAATCATAGAGAAGCCCTTGCTCGAGTCTTGACACGTTTATTATTTTATCCTGTTAAACAAAAACATATAACTCAATTACTTAGTCAACTTGGTTTCCCTAAAAATAAACAGGTAAGTTAACTCCTCAATGTTAAATATATTTAAAATTTTCTTAATTATTTTTTAGTACAAATTGAATACTATATTCACTTGGTGTTGTTTATTTGTATCTTCCTATGTGATACAGGTACATCCAGCTGACGAGTCCTAAATAGGACGAAACGTGCATCCTGGATTCCACTGCTAGCCACTATCCATCCTTGCTCATGAATATTATATTATTCAAATATATTAAGAACGAGAAAATAACATAGTTCAGAAGAATTCACTTAGTATTGTTTGTTTGAATCTTCCCATTGATGTTTAGGATTGCAACTGGTCAGTCTCTAATTGGCATATGTGCATACTGTGCGTAATGCCTCAATATTACCTTAATTCAAAAGCATTATAAGCAAAGATAGATAGTGGCTAACAGTGGAATCCAGGACGCGCGTTTCGTCCTACTTTGGGACTCGTCAGTTGGATGTACGTGCATCTAAGAGACAGACCAGTTGCAGTCCTAAACATCAATGGGAAGATTCAAACAAACAATACCAAGTGAATTTAAACTTCACCCCATTGCACAAGCAGGTGCTATCAGGACTCAGTAGCTGAGTGGATAAAGCGATGGCATTTGAAGCGGACGGTACTGGGTTCGAGTCCCAAGGTGAACATCAACTCTGAGATGTAAGTACATCCAGCTGAAGAGTCACAAATAGGACGAAACGCGCGTCTTGGATTCCACTGCTAGTCACTATCCGTATTTGCTTATAATAGTTCAGAAGAGTTTCATTGATGAAAATATAACACAACTGATCAACCATATTTGTCTAATGCTTCAGTAATGGCCAAATTCTACTGATTAAGCTCTAATGTACTGGCCACTAATCTAACTAGTTATTGCATGTACTAGATCAGTCGCGTCCTAACCAGTTTAGTAATATCAGAAACTATGAAGCTTCATTAAACTCTATAAAACTTCAAATACCGTAATGATCATCAGATTACAGGCAATCCATGTTGACAAGTATTAACTACCATAAATTTAGGCCAATCAGGGTTTTCTATCGATCACCTACAGCCACCTAACATCTCGATATAAGCATCAATTCCCAAAGGCAAGAAAAAAGATTCAATCTATAGTTTAAGATATTTATGGTTAACACTTCTTCCGTTTGCAAGACCTGGAGCTTGACTACTTCAAACAACTTCTTCAGGTTGAATATGCTAGTAATCATCTCAGTTATAAGATATTCTCTTAATAATTACTTAATTCCTGAGCAAATATTCGATAGAATTAATAACAATGTTGATAATAAGATAAAGTTCTTTGGAAATTGCTTAATTTTTAATTCCATCTTCATAATGTTAACTGGAAACTAATCGAAAATCAACAAGCAGTAAACACTTATGTCATTTTATATGAAACCATTTCGGCAAGTTCTTTCCTCGATAACAATCATCTCGTTATAAGTGACCAGATTTTAGAATACTTCCTTATGTTTCCGCGCTAAGTCTATAACCAAATCGATAAATTCCCATTTTCAAAGTTGAATTCACGAGCCAGTTTAAACTAGACTACCACTGAAAACCTGGAAGCTATGAACGGTCGTTATGTTCCAGTATGGGACTCCTCAACTGTGTGCATCTACGGTCCCATACGTGGGACTCGAGCCCTAGATGGCTGTCTAGTGCTTCCAGGTTTTCGATAGTAGTCTAGCTTAGATTGACTCATGAATTCAACTTTGAAAATACTACAATCTCCACAAGTTCCCAAGTCTTCTTATTATATTACATCTTCTTTTTTGTACCCTTCTTAACATGCTAGATAATTAATTTCACAGAATTTTATACAGCATTATGTCCTAGAAACAATAATAATACTAATAGTCATTATCATGAATACAACTCAACTTCAATTAATAAAACCGATGATTTCTATCATAGTAGTAATAATAATAATAATCACAGTAACTTCTCAAACAATGATAAGCAACCAGTTCCTATGAAACAAACAATAACACAAATTGAAAATAATAATAATACGTTAGTACCAGTTAATCAAGCTGATAAATCAATGAATCACCATGTTAATAATGCCAACAAACAGAATTGGTCATTTCTTACTGAATTACCACAAGATGTTTCAAGAAAGTCAAATTTTTTATTAGCACATCAAGTGATGAGTATACTTAGGCAACGTTTATTAAAAGGGTAAGTTTATAAGATTAATCATATATAAACTTGTTAAGAATATTTATAAATCAGAGGGGGTTTTGTGGAGAATTTACTATTTTCACAGTTGAAATCATGAGTCGGCTGAAGCTAGACCAACAGAGAAAACCTGGAATCACTGGACGGTCGTTTCGTTCTACTGTGGGACTCCTCAGCAGTGCACATCCAAGATCCCGCACTCGCGAGATTCACTGAAGACAATCGGTGAATGGTCGCTCATAATTCGTGGATCGGTTGAAGTTAGACATTAACACCGTTGGATGACGGCCAGCTCAGTGGTCTATCGGTTAAGGGCTCTGGCTCGAAACTGGTAGGTCTTGGATTCGAGTCTCGCGAGTGTGGGATCGTGGATGCGCACTGCTGAGGAGTCCCATAATAGGAATAAACGGCTATCCAGTGCTTTCAGGTTTTTTCTGTTGGTCTATCTTCAAATGACTCATGATTTCAACTGTGAAAGAATATTTACGTGTAAAAATAAAAGGTTAACTAGACTGGAAATGGGGGGTGAGTGGAGACAAGGATAATAATAATAATAATAATAATAATAATAATAATAATAATAATAATGTGAAAACAATTTGAAACCTAATCAGCTAATATTACCAGGGTAGGTTTAAGGTGTGAACAAACTGTTTTTCAATACACAAAGGGGGTTTGAATTTTCGTATAGCCCTTTTTATACTTTTATACCATAAAAGCCGAGTTAAGATCAATCTTATGGCCTGGTAAGCAGAGATGGATAGTGGCTAGCAGTGGAACCCAGTTTGACGCACGTTTCGTCCTATTTGGGACTCGTCAGCTGGATGTACCTGCATCTCAGAGTTGATGTTCACTCTGGGACTCGAACCCAGTACCCTCACTTCAAACGCCATCGCGTTACCCACTCGGCCACTGAGTCCTGATAGCCACTTGCTTGTGCGATGGGGTGAAGTTTGAATTCACTTAGTATTGTTTGTTTGGATCGCACAAGCAAGTGGCTATCAGGACTCAGTGGCCGAGTGGATAACGCGATGGCGTTTGAAGCGAGGGTACTGGGTTCGAGTCCCAGAGTGAACATCAACTCTGAGATGCAGGTACATCCAGCTGACGAGTCCCAAATAGGACGAAACGCGCGTCGTGGATTCCACTGCTAGCCACTATCCATCTCTGCTTACCATGCTTGTGAATTAAGGTACATCGAGGCAATACGCACAGTATGCACATATGCCAATAAGAGACTGACCAGTTGCAGTCCTAAACACATCGATGGGAAGATCCAAACAAACAATACTAAGTGAATTCAATCTTATGGCCTGTTTCGATAATATGTTTGGCTATAGAGGATAATGGATGTTTCTGCAACTATTTCGTTACATATTCACACACCCTAATTTTGAGATCACGATTGCTCCTCCCTATGTATGTGTGATCACACACACATTTAAATTGGTAAACACAGTGGGATGTGACATAATCGTTTTCATGTCTTTTAAGTTTTGGATGAAGCATGAACCTTGTTCTATCTTTGATAATGACCTTTGCTGCACAATAAGTGTTGTTGATGACTGTTCAAGCCTATTTGGTAAGGTAATGTAGATAATCTATGGTTACTTCTAATCACTAATATTTTACTAAAATCATTCAAATCAAAATAAAACCATCGAATATTTAATTGCTATGATTTATATGATAAATGATCAAAATTATAGTTGAAAGCGTGAGTCAATTGAAACTAGGCCACAATGGAAAACGTGGAAGCACTGGACGGATGTTTCGTCCTATTATGGGACTTCGCTGTTATGCTGCTTGTCTGAGGGAAACACCTTACTGTCGTCATACCTTTGTACAGTCATCAGTACAACTTCTCCTTCGGAACTTGGGTTTGCTGCTCTTCAAACGATCTGCCTGATATGGTAGGACCCTGAGGAACTACTGTTCCAGCCAGTAAAACCCAATTGGTTCATCATGATAGGCAAGTCTGACCATCGCGTCAAGGTAACAACAACGGTCGGGAGTAGTAGTGGTAGTAGCAGTAGACATCATTCATCGAATGAATTGGTCCAAATAAGACGAATATTTCATTATAAAAGCTGGTTGTTTTTCCACCCTTTTATAAATGAACATAGATTAGCAGTGAGGTGACATGATATGCTATCATTAGTACTGATACATGTAGAACTGAAACTGAAACTGAACAACCATGAATACGAAGTCTACTTGAAAAAGTGTTAAAATTTTTAATTACTGATGGTTATATATAAGAACTCTCGTCTAAATTAGAACGAATAGTTTCACAGTATTTGAGCGCCGAGTTGAAGTAAGACATTAAATAGGAATAATATATTTGTAAAATCTCAGCGAATGAATTTTTTTAAATTAAATCCAACGTTTCACCTGGCAATCTGGTCCAAGCTTTTTCAAGGAATTAATTCCTTACTGATGGTAAGTTTCCAATATTTCAGTATTAAGATAGCTATCACCAAACAACTGAAACAACTGAAATTCCTACATTCAAACTTTGATTAAGTTATAGGTGTGGATTACTGAGGAGTTTCAGGTAAAAAATAAAACAATCGCTCAGTGCTTCATTATTTCTTTAATTGATGTCATTCGGTAATTAAAGCTTTCTCAAAATTGAAATAATCATATCGTAGTGTTTGCTACTGATGTCGACAGATATAAGTAGTATGTATCACCGATCGAAAGTAAAGTCCCTGGTGGTAGAAGGTTGGGAAAATCGAAGAGAATAGGATAAGAACGGAGTGTGATTGGTATGGAAACGAAGGAACAACAAAGTGTGAGACAATTGATGGATCTTTTGCAAGTGAAGTATTTCCTGTATGGTTCTCAGATTTTACGAAGATATTCAGTAATCTCTTAAAATACATTCGGTAAATCCAGATTGTTTTTCATCAGAAGATAAACTCTTAAAATTGCTAGATCAAATAACTGTTATTTGCTAACTTACTATCATAGCTTAAAACACGAACCGATATTAGCTAGACTGCCATTCAAAACATCGAAGCACTGGACAGCTACTATTTTGTCCTGGTATGGTATTCCTCGGTAGTTATTTATTAGTTTGTTCTCTATGTATGTTGATGTACATAAATAGGAATAGGTAATTGTGATATACAAGTTAGTCTGGATAAGAATATACCAAAATAATTGCAAAAACAAATGACTTCAAACGACCTAGTGAGAGTAAATAATTGTCAAACACACAGTTGAAACATGTCATAAGATCATGTTAATTAAACTTTTGTAGTTGTATATAAATGTTTACCAGGAAGCCTTAACCATACAAATACTCAACCTCCCTCTTAATCTATTCGATAAACTCTTGTACTTACAATCAGAAGGGCTTTGTGGAGATTTCAACCACGTCTGTTGTGAGATAACAACTCACTGAAGACAATCGGTGAATGGTCGCTCATAATTCGTGGATCGGTTGAAGTTAGACATTAACACCGTTGGATGACGGCCAGCTCAGTGGTCTATCGGTTAAGGGCTCTGGCTCGAAACTGGTAGGTCTTGGATTCGAGTCTCGCGAGTGTGGGATCGTGGATGCGCACTGCTGAGGAGTCCCATAATAGGACTAAACAGCTATCTAGTGCTTCCAGGTTTTCTCTGGTGGTCTAGCTTCAATTGATTCATGATTTCAATCTTGTACTTACATTGAATCCACCTGCGTAGTATTAATTTATTATCTAATATAGTGTCATTCATCTTTTCATTTTACAGTACACTTCAATTAGATAATTTGTTCAATTTAAACAATTACGATGAACAGAATCAATTAATTCAACGTAATGAATTATTTAATCAACTTAAACGACTTGGATTATATTTATCGAATAGCGAATTTTTAAAATTTTGGAAAAGGTAAATAAATGAATTATGTTGATTTATAAAACAGTTAACTTAAACTTATTTATCAGAAAGGGTTTTGTGGATATTATAGTCGATTGAAGCTAGACCACCATGGAAATCCTGGAAGCACTGGAAGGCTGTTTTGTCCTATTGTGGTACTCCTCAGTAGTGCTCATCCACGATCCCATTTCACAAGACTCCAATCCAGGATCTATCGAAGTTATGTCCACTTTGATGATGGATAATTATTCTACGGGTTTTATAAAGAAAATAATTAGGAAAGAAGACCAAAACGATGAGGTAAAAGATAAACTGAAAGGATGGGTTATTACTGTAGTGATCACATATCGTAAAGGCAATTCAGAAGAAATAAGAAAAATCCTTAATCTTCAAAATATGAGAGTATTCTTTCAAGGGAACAATACTTTAAGATATAAATTGGTAAGAATCAGTGATTGAATACAAAAGAAGGAATAACAAAATTGGGAATATGAGATTAAATGTAATGAGACATCACGGGAACTGAATGTGAGGATGAAGGAACACAATCTTTATTTGATGCATATTCCCAAATCCTCAGATGATAGGAAAAGTCTCGAAAATAAGTCAACGATAGCACTACACTTAATAGAGTCGGGTCATATAATTTATTTCAATGACATTAGAGTCTTCCAAAAGGTCTTAGTTCATAAAAAGAGAGACTAACAATAGAAGCCCTACACATATGTGCAAATCAAAACAGTATTGACAAGATAGATGGAATACAATTAACTGTCTCATAACAGTTAATACTTAATTAACAAGTAAACATGAAATCTTTATTGCATTTAATCTATTACTTATTATCTGATGATGATGATGATGATGATGATGATGATGATGATGATGATGATGATGATGATGATGATGATGATGATGATGATGATGATGATGATGATGATGATGATGATGATGATGATGATGATGATGATGATGATGATGATGATGATGATGATGATGATGATGATGATGATGATGATGATGATGATGATGATGATGATGATGATGATGATGATGATGATGATGATGATGATGATGATGATGATGATGATGATGATGATGATGATGATGATGATGATGATGACACGTGTTGACTCTATGTCTACAAAAATTGTTTTCTTTAAAGACTCACTGATCAGAGGAGATAAGTAGTGAATGAAATTTCTTTTCACACCTCAGATCCACTTATGAATACACACAATCCGTAATTTCAACTCACTTTTCATTACATACCAGATGTCTCATAAGTACTACATCAAATTCTTAATTTCAACATTGTTAACATGATTGGATGACCTATTTAGTGAACCAGAGAAACATGTACCTATTTATATTCGATAATTATTGATGTTTGATTATATTTCTTTGGAAAAGTTTGAACCAGATTGCAGAGTGAAACGTTGGATCATATATTAGTTTAACTTCAAAAAATTGTCACGTTTAACCATAAAAGTTGACTGTTATCCTAAATCCCGTAGATAAGTCACAATATATTTATGGATGTACTATCTGCATTATTGAACTGTTCAACCTAAATAATCTCAGAAAAGTTGATTTAAAATGTTAATAGAAACAATTTTAGATGTCCAGATTTTTGATGTACAGCTAATAAAAGTAAGATGTGATTTGCCAATGAGCTTAAACTAATGGATACTTCGACTACTTACGGTTGAATGTGATTTCCCTTCTTATTATTGACTTTTACTCTTGACTCACTGAGTGTAGACTGCTTATAATTGTAAATATTTTCTAACGTATCCTTTGATTCTCTATGGTTGATCATGAATCGTATATTTGGTATAACGTGATCCTATTCTGTGTACAGTTTACTGAACAGTTTTCCTATCTATTGTTAGTATTACTTACTTACTTACTTACGCCTGTTACTCCCAATGGAGCATAGGCCGCCGACCAGCATTCTCCAACCCACTCTGTCCTGGGTCTTCATTTCCAGTTCTATCCAATTGTTGTTCATTCTTCTTATGCCAGTCTCCATTTCTCGGTGTAATGTGTTCTTTAGTCTTCCTCTTTTTCTTTGGCCTTGAGGATTCCATGTGAGAGCTTGTCTAGTGACACAGTTGAGTGATTTTCTCAATGTGTGTCCAATTCACTTCTAGCGCTTTTTCTAGATTTATTCTCCCGCTAGAATCTGGTTTGTTCTCTCCCACAGTAGAATGTTGCTGACAGTGTCTGACCGACGGATCCGAAGCATCTTGCGTAGACAACTGTTAATAAACACTTGTATCTTCTGGATGATGGCTTTCGTAGTTCTCCACGTCTTCACTCCATACAGTAAAACTGTCTTGACATTTGTATAGAAAATTGTGATCTTGGTGTTGGTTGACAGTTGTTTTAAGTTCCAGATGTTCTTCAACTATAAATATGCTACTCTTGCTTTGCCGATCCACGCCATCACATCTGCATCTGATCCACCATGTTAGTATAATCTTGGTTAATGGTCGTATTATCGTATAGTAGTGTTATATCCCCCGGTGAATTAACTTTTAGGTCTATTTATCGACCAATGTATTATGCCTATTTCCTATTGTACAATTGTTACGTAACTAAACTATTCATATTCGTATTTCTCTTATCATGAGCTTTATTTTGATCTTTGATTTATTATCATACGATTCTTGAGTTATAATCAGTTATTGATTACTTTGGTTTGTATAAAAACCCAGTATGTTTGTAAATAATGATTCATAGCACTGAGGCTGTTATTGGTGTTTTGGACTTAACTGGCTGGGCTAAGCAGATCGTAGGACCGGTTAGCACTGTAGACTTCTCGTACGGCTTCGTGTCACTGTTCCAATCGACAATTCGCTGATCCCTGTTAGACGGTCTTATCGCGTCACACATTAGCAAGTCATCCACTCGGCCACAAGTATAACAAGTAGTCATATCTCGGTCAACTAAACTACCTCTATCTAGTATTCAAAACAGTTGGGCCTCATTAACAAGATTTCCTCATATTATCTGAAAATCTGAACTCATATTAAACAATCATTCGTGTTGCTTAGTGGATGTTAATGTGCTTTCTAAAAATTGGGGGTATTCGTAGGTTACTATAGTATTTGATTACATATGCTTTTGAAGTACTGCTGGTATATGTTGAGATCATCAATTGAAGAATTCTCAGGGTAGACATAAGATACTAAGTAAAAATGATATATTGTAGCAAACAGAAAATATTTTTATTGTATAAATACTCACTGCATAAGTGTATATATCTGTTGTTGTTTGTTTGTTTGTTTTTTCAATTTTAGATTAAGTCCGAAAAATGAACCAAACCTACCAATTGAATGCTTTCTAAACCATATGAATTTACGAAATAATAATGGTATTAGTACTGATCATAACAATAATGAGCTACAGTCTAACGAAACACTTTTAGGTTAGTTGGAAACAAAGTATGATATATATAACATAGATTTATGTCATTTATATAATTATGAATAGATTATTGTGTGTTCTATTTGAAAAATATACTACATCCTGGAGATTTATTGAAGAAATGTGACTAGTGAAGTTCAACCATACTGTTCATCAATAGTAATATAGCTAATTAGATGGAGATAAAAATGTTACTCATTGAAAAGCGACTCAGTAATCTATAAGCTAAACGCTCTTCGTAAGACCTGAAGGTCCTAAGCTTAATCCTCCGTATGGATGAGCAGTGCCGAAATTTCCTATACAAGATTAAGCGCAGTTATCTAACACTTTCTGGCTTACAATGATTGTATTTGATTACTCGATAGAATTCCCAATAGCATTCAATAGTAAACACAACCCCATAGTAAAAACTAGAATTCATTGGTCCATATGTCTAACTTCGGACTATCTAAGATGTAATGCGAACATCATTTCATATACGTTTGTTTTTGTGTACAAGCATGAGGTTCCAAACATGGATGGCACAGCTGTACATTGAATCTCACTATTTTTACCGCTCTTTAGTAAACATTAAGAATTACTAACAACGACTTCAGATTGAACATTCCCCGCAAACCTACATTTCATAAAGAGTCTGTTACTTAAAGTTTGGTTCTTAGGAGGAAAATACTGTGATTGTGTTTATCCAAAAGGAAAATTGATTATCCAATTATATTAGATACTGGCTAACAGAAAGATCGAGAAAATTAGTTTTGATCATATCATTTCTTGTTCACTTAATATACTCACACTTCGTTTGTCATTTAAAACCTTACAACATCATCTATCAAGTGTAATGAACTTTAACGGCCATAGCTTCTAGAAAATACATTATCTCTGCCTCTACTGACTATGATAATAAATTTTGAGTTGTACTTGGTAGTAGTAAGATTCGTAGGTACTTTTATACTTTCATTACAAAGTTATACTTAATAAAGCAACTGTTATCCCATTTAAAAGTGTATATCACTATATTTAGTCTGGTAATTAAACAAAGAACTTGAAAAAGTAAACGGTAAGTTCAAAAGACAAGTGTAATATTTATAATATTAAGTTGTTGATTACCAATACCAGAAGAGGGTTTTGTGGAGATTTTAGTCACTTTATACAGTTGAAACCATGAGTCAGTTGAAGCTGGACCAACATGAAAAACCTGGAAGTACTGGATGGCCGTTTCGTCCTATTATGGGACTCCTCACCAATGTGCATCCATTATCCCGCCTCACGAGATTCGAACCCAGGACCTAACAGTTTTGTGCGTTAGCGCTTAACCGCTAGACCATTCAGCCGGTCGGCATCCAACGGTGTTAATTTCTAACTTCGAGCAATCCAGTGCTTCCAAGTTTTCCATGGTTGTCTACCTTCAATTGACCCTTGGTTTCACCTATATAATATTATTACTAATAAATTGATACAGTTCGATAGATAGGGTTTGGTTGGTTTGTAGACGTATTTGGATGTCATTCATTAGCTGATGAATATGATATACTATAAGCTTTGCAGCTTATGAGACTTAATTCAAATGCATGTTCCATTTCATAAATAAACACTTATTAGTTAATCTTTGAATTGAAATCCATGTGGATGGAGATACATTGTATCTATTTATTTATTTAAACACATAAATATTGGTGCAAAGGGGAACCAGATACATGTGCGTCACACAAATTTCTTTTGATTTGTGTGAGGGTTGTGACACTACCCGGGTGCCCAAACTGAAGCAGGTGGTTTTCTTAAGGGGCCACATCCCGAGCCTTTGACCTAAAGATCTGATACACAAGGCAGTGGAGCATCGTGAGGAGATGCAGTCCCATGGTAGCCGGCGACCAACGATAGGTTCATATGCTAGTTGTTTCCTTAGAATACTGGAGCCCATGTGTACCATTGGTTTGGAATCAGGGTTTTCCAACTCCCCTAGGTGGACTCGCCGTGTCCACCAGCCCGGTTAAAGCGTCAGACAGTCGCTTTTCGTCCCCTCAATTTCGTAAACAACACCCCTGCCACGAGAAAGCAGTGATTAGGGCTTCTCTGGCAGAGGCTGTATACGCGTTGCTATGTGAGAGCATTTTGAGAGGGAAAACAGACTCTCTTCACTCTCTGCCGTACCATGGGATTCGGGGGCTGGAGTTACATCGTACACATGTCTAACCGACGGATATATGTAAGACTCACACAGATTTCATTTCTATTCTAAAATATAATGAAACTAAGCTTTAGTTTATCAATAAACATCACTTCTTCTTCTTCTTTTACTCACTTCATTCTTATTTCTTTCTCTTATCTTAGCTATCACCGACAACACCGTGAAATCATCATCATCAGCAGCAGCAGCAAATAAACAAACAATCTCTTCAGTAAATAAAATTATTCCTAACTTGATTAAACTATTTAATAAAGGTTATCATAATGTATGTAAAGCTATTGAACATTGTACAAAACAATATATTCATAAACATGAAGCCAATTCAACGTCGTTAAACAATAATGATCTACTTAATCTACCTAATGGTTATACAAATTCGGATATATTTTTAGAAACATTAAAATATTTAAAATTAACATTATTAAAAAAAATACAAATTGGAGCATTTTTTACACGTTATGGATTAACAATAACAAGCAAAGGATTATTACCATATGCTGAATTATTACGACGTTTTCAAGATCGTACTGAAGCTGGTGTATTACATCAAATGTTAACATATTCATTAATTCATAGAAAAGGATCTTTTGATGAACAGTAAGTATTAAATAGTTAGTCCTTTTCTTCTATGAGGCTTAGTTAAAAGCATAGATACGCTTATTTACTCACTTACTTACGCCTGTTACTCCCAATGGAGCATAGTCCGCCAAACAGCATTCTCCAACCCACTCTGTCCTCGGCATTCCTTTCTAGTTCTATCCAATTGTTGTTCATTCTTCTCATGTCTGCCTCTGTTTCTCGGCGTAATGTGTTCTTTGGTCTTCCACTTTTCCTTTGGTGTTCAGGATTCCATGTGAGGGCTTGTCTTGTGACACAGTTTGATGATTTCTCCAATATTTGTCCCATCCACATCCAGATCTTCTTCCTGACTTCTTCGTCTGCTGGAATATAGTTTGTTTTCTCCCACAGAAGCTTGTTGCTGATAAAATCTAACCGACGGATCCGAAGTATCTTGCGTAGACAACTGTTGATAAACACCTGTATCTTCTGGATGATGGCTTTCGTAGTTCTCCAGGTTTCCGCCCCATAAAGTAGAACTGTCTTGACATTTGCATTAAAAATTCTGATCCTGGTGTTGATTGACAATTGTTTCTAGTTCTATCCAATTTTTGTTCATTCTTCTTATGTCTGTCTCTATTTCTCGACGTAATGTGTTCTTTGGTCTTTCTCTTTTCCTTTGACCTTCAGGATTCCATGTGAGAGCTTGTCCTGTGACGCTGTTGGGTGATTTCCTCAATGTATTTCCTATCCACTTCCACCAAGAATGTTTATCACAGAGAAAATCGAGGACTCTTTAAGTGATGTGTATTGGATCCAAATAGTTAAACTTTACATCACAATGCATAGAGAGAAATGTGGCAAGATGAGAAAATAAAGTAAAAAAAGAACAACCGTGTTAGACAAATGGAACAATTACAATGGGATAATTCAAACAATTACCCATAATGATATTAACATCATACCTATTGAACATGTCAGTGGCTAACAGAACTTAACAATTCAGTGGGTAGAACAGTAGGTATTTGAAGTGAAAAGTACTGGGTTCGAGTCTTAATATGAACACCAGGACTATGATGAATGTACATTCACTTGATTAACCCCATACTGGACCGAACACACAATCTGGATTCCACTGCAATCCATAGCCTATCTATTCTATAGTAGGAAAATAATTCTTTTTACATTATGTACAATATGAAAATTCTCTATAATTAATTGGCCAATACCTAGTATCTGGTTCCTTTTGACAAGTCTTATGTTATTTTACATTCTATCTCAATATAAATTGATCATAATGATCTCAAAAAGGGGAAGTAATTTTTATCATAAACTAATTGAATTCGAGAATGTGACTGATTGATTTGTAGACTCATAACAAGTACGGAATGTTTCGGGATTGATCTTTTGCTATATTATTAGTGTGCACCAGTGATAAGTCACAAACAAAAACATTTAATTAATATCTATCTGTAATGTGAACTTCAGATATCCAGCTCTCCTCCGTTTTCTATAGTTGTTAGTTAATGATTTACTTACTTACTTACGCCTGTTACCCCTCGTCCAGGAGCATAGGCAGTCCGCCAGCATTCTCCATCCAAATTTGTCCTGAGCCTTCCTTTCCAGTTCTTTCCAGTTGCTATTCATCCTTTTCATATCGGCTTCTATTTCCCGGCGTAGTATGTTCTTTGGCCTTCCTCTTTTCCGCTTCCTTTCCGGATTCCAAGTTAGGGATTGCCTCGTGATGCAGTTCGGTGATTTTCTTAATGTATGTCCGATCCACTTCCAGCGTCTTTTCCTAATTTCCTCTTCAGCTGGAAGCTGGTTTGTCCTCTCCCATAAAACTCTGTTATTAATAGTATCCGGCCAGTGAATGTTGAGTATTTCGCGTAAACAACTGTTTATAAATACTTGTAACTTCTTGATGATGGTCGTAGTAGTTCTCCACGTTTCAGCTCCATACAGTAGGACTGTCTTGACGTTCGTATTAAAGATTCTCACTTTGAAGTTAGTTGACAGTTGTTTTGAATTCTATATGTTCCTCAATTGTAGCAATGCTGCCCTTGCTTTGCCAATCCTCGCCTTTACATCTGCGTCCGATTCTCCTTGTTTATCAACGATGCTCCCCAGGTACTTGAATGTTTCCACATCTTCCAGAGTTTCGCCATCAAGTGTGATTGGGTTGGTGTTCTCCGTGTTGCATTTGAGAATCTTGCTTTTTCCTTTGTGAATGTGGAGGCCTATCGATGAGGAGGCTGCTGCTACATTTGCTGTCTTCATCTGCATTTGTTCGTATGTATGAGAGAAGAGGGCTAGGTCATCTGCGAAGTCCAAATCATCTAATTGATTCTGAGAAGTCCATTGTATTCCGTATTTCTCGTCAGATGTCAAATTATTCATAATCCAGTCAATCACTTGATGGAAGAGGAATGGGGAGAGTAGACAGCCTTGTCTGACTCCGGTCCTTACTGGAAATGCACCTGTCAGCTGTCTTCCATGCACCACTTTGCACTGTAGGCCATCGTATGAGTTTTGGATAATGTTGACAATCTTTTCAGGAACTCCATAGTGTCGAAGAAGTTTCCATAATGTTCTCCTGTCCACGCTGTCAAACGCCTTCTCATAGTCAATAAAGTTGACGTATAGTGATGAGTTCCACTCAACTGATTGTTCAACGATGATCCGTAGTGTCGCAATCTGGTCTGTGCACGACCGATCCTTACGGAATCCAGCCTGTTGATCCTGAAGTTCGGCGTCTACTGCGTCTTTCATCCGATTCAGTAGCACTCTGTTGAAAACTTTTCCTGGTACTGATAACAAACTGATACCTCTGTAGTTCTCACATTTGCCCAGATCTCCTTTCTTTGGTATCTTGATGAGATATCCTTCTTTCCAGTCCGTTGGCACTTGTTCCTCTTCCCAAATCTTCTTGAATAGAAGGTGGAGCGTGTTTGCAGTTATTTCAATGTCTGACTTCAGTGCTTCTGCTGGTATATTGTCGGGTCCTGCCACCTTCCCACTTTTGATTTGTCTGATGGCCATCTTGACTTCTTCGATCGTTGGAGGAGTGATATCTATTGGAAGGTCAGTGTGTGCTGCTTCAATATTCGGTGGATTCGATGGGGCTGGTCTATTCAGCAGTTCCTCGAAGTATTCTGCCCATCTTTTCCCATGTATTTCTGCTTGTCGGCTTTAATGCTTTTCTTCACTTCCCTGTTTGCTTCTGCGTAGTCTGCTTGTGCTTTGACTTTCTCTGCTCGTGTTCGGCTGTTGTTATTTGCTAGTTTCTTGTTCTTCCTTTCTTGAATTTTGTCCAGGGTTCCCATAGAGATCCATTCCTTGTGATGATGCTTCTTAGGACCAAGAACCTCCTGACACGTTGAAGTTAGTGCTTCTTTTATCCCTTTCCAGTTGTCCTCCAAAGTAGTTTCTTGTTCTTTCAGTAGATCCTGTAGAGCTTTGAACCTGTTGTTGAGAGTTATCTTGAATTCATGGAGCTTGTCAGTATCTCGAAGGAAGGCTGTATTGAACCTTTGTAGTGCTGTTTGTCCAGTTGTCCAGTCTTTCTTTAGCTTCAGTCTCATCTTGGCCACAACCAGGTGGTGATCTGAAGCTATGTCAGTTCCTCTCCGGGTTCTCACATCTTCCATTGATCTTCGGGATTTTTTGTTGATACAGATGTGATCTATCTGGTTCTCTGTGGTTTGGTCCGGTGAGATCCATGTAGCTTTGTGTATGCGCTTGTGTGGGAATATTGTGCCGCCTATAACCAATTTGTTGAATGCACATAGGTTTGCAAGTCTCTCCCCATTTTCATTTCTCTCTCCTAGTCCATGTCGTCCAATTACATCTTCATATCCTGTGTTGTCCACTCCAACTTTAGCATTTAGATCTCCCATCAGGATGGTGAGGTCCTTTCGTGAGCACTTCTCTATAATTGATTGCAGCCTTTCATAGAACTGGTCTTTATCATCGTCGTTGCTATCATTGGTGGGTGCATAACATTGGATAACGTTCATTGTGATCCCTTGCTTCCATGTACCTATAAAGAGTGTTGCTTTGGTTGTTAGAAGGTGCATCGGTCTCGTGACTTCCGAAGAATTTCGGCTTTCATCATGAGTCATCATAATTATTCCTTCAACTCCCAGAGCAGAGTTTAAATGGTTTGAATTATTTCTTCTGGTTAGCGTTTTTTTAGGGGGTTAGCTTTTCTACGGGATGGGGTCGCTAATCCCATGGCCAACCCTCCTCCTTTACCGGTCTTGGGACCGGCAGTAACTCTAGAAGATCTACAGGCGGAGTTAGTTAATGATTTAGACTGTAGAAATCAAGTCTTCACAAATCCTTCATGTTAATAAGAATTCTTTGATAAGCTTAAGTTTATGTAATAAAATAAGTTTTAAAATACACAAAACTCTTCATAAAATCAATTAATTTAATCATCACCAGAGGTTCCTCCGGGAATCGAACTCTGGATCGTTAAATTTCATGAAGAGTTCTTAAGCTTCAGATCACAAAGTTATTATTCATTAGTAATGGATATTCATTTCATGTATGTGCACAGGATATTTAATGGTTAAAGGAAGTCAGCGGAAAGCCCTGATTGACCTAGGTTTCCTATTATTCAGCACTCGATAAAAAGTACCTTTAATCTTAAAGGAATTAGTGCTCCCTAGTAGATCCGATTATAATATGCCTTAGTTTCAATCTGGATCGAGCGATAAAGATTCCTATTCTAGCAAACGTTTCCTTCAATGTATATTACATCGAAGGACAAGGTCTTCACAAGGTCCACAAGTCATTTAATACCAGCAATTAAATATACAGGAACTTCTTAGTAGTGTCATTTGTTGTAGCCGCCTAGTTGTCAAGTCTTCTCTATAATTCTCTATGAACCGATCGTACATGAGCATCAGGTACTGAAATCGGCGCCGTGACCTTGAAATCCCTCAAATGCTTCTGATTGGCTCGTCCATAAATTATAGTCTCGCCTCAAACACTTGACCTAAATCTCCCATATGTACAAGCTGGAATAATCTTTGAGTTTTCAACATTATCCTTAATCTAAATTACATTCCTGATATTCATTTCTATTTAAATGACAGTACTAAGATGTTCTTTTGTTGAACAACAACAACAGCTTTCAGTTTCTTGATGACTTTATGTAGAAAAGTGTCTTCTTTCTTCCAAGTTTAATAAGAAATTCATTTACTTTATCATGTTTCACTACGTAATAAGATGTTCTCAACTATAATCTTCCTTACTTATCGGCAAAATTTGGTGAAAAACGTGGTTCAGTTAATTACTTTTCTCAACCATTTAGGTAACCAAAAAAATGTACTAGATTTGTGAATGTATCAGTTAGCTGCATGAAAGAACTGACGAAGTTTGATGCTATTCAATGAAAATTATACCACTTGATCTTATCGTGAAAATTCATCCTTTGATTGAAGAAAACTGAGAATTAAAGCAGAAGTTTACTGACCACAGATGATTGAGTACTTACTTATTTAAGCATGTTATCCCTCTTAAGTCATAGGCTGCCGACTAAAAATTTTCAACCAACTATGTTCCAAGCTCTCTCTTTTCCAGTTCTTCGGAAGTCTTTTTTATTCTTTAGATATTGACCTCTATTTTCCGTCCTAATGAGTTATTTGGTCACCTTTTTTCCTTCAGCCTTGAGGATTCCAAAGTAGAACTTTCTTTTCATTCAGTTTTATTATTTCCATAATACATATTCTATCCAACTCCATCATTTCCTGATTTCTCAGTCATCTGGAAGTTGGATTATTTTCTAAAGTGTAGGTTATTATCAGAAGGGGGTTTTGTGGAGATTTTAGTAATTTTATATAGTTGAGATCATGAGTAAATTAGAACCAGATGAAACGACCGTCCAGGGCTTCCAGGTTTTCCACGGTGGTCAAGCTTCAATTGACTAATGATCTCAACTGTATAGAGTAAGTTATTGTTTATATTCTCTGGACATATATAAATGTGTTATATGTATGTAATAGAATAACATGAAGTCATTGTTTGAAGTGGTAACTTATTAATAAAACATTCAATTTGTTACCCCTTAAGTCCCAGGTTATTTATTACGTTCAAACAATTAAATTATTGACATGAAAATAATATTTAAAATTCAATTGTGATACATTTAATATAAATTACTATTATTATTAACCTTCATTTAAAACATTCAATAGCTTTTAAATAATTGAGATCATGAATCGATGGAAGCTAGATCACCATGTAAAACCTGGAAACACTGGACGGCCGTTTCGTCCTATTATGGGACTCCTCACAAGTGCACATCCACGATCCCGCCTCACGAGATTCCAACCCAGGATCTATCAGACTCGCGCGTGAGCACTTAACCACTACACCACTGAACCAGCCGGCATCCAACGGTGTTAATGTCTAACTTCAACCAATCCATGCAATTGAGCAATCATTCACCAATCTCTTCAGTGAGTTGATATCTCCCAACAGATCTAGCTGAACTTCACTGGTTTCTGCTTCTCACTAGAACTCCAGGAAATAGGTTGTCAACTCATCTCTTTTGTTCTTTTCCTTTTTCTTGTTTCTAAATATAGAAATGAAAATATCATAAAACTTGAATATGAATTAATAAGAAAATTTCATCGAAATTTTTTAACTTTACTCAATACATTTCGGTATGTTCAATATTAACTAGTTTATAATCTAATTCAATTCATCAATTCAATTGCATAATATAAATAATTATTTTAATGAAATATTCATAAATATATAATTTTGTAGTTGAAATCATGAGTCAATTGAAGCTAGACCACCATGGAAAACCTAGAGGCACTGAACGGCCATTTCGTCTCAATATGGGATTCATCAGCAGTGCCCATCCATGATACCGCCTCGCGAGATTCGAACCCAGGATCTATCAGTCTTGCGCACGAACCCCTAACCTCTATTCCACTGAGCTGGCATACAACGGTGTTAATGTCCAGTGTCATCCAGCGCATCCAGGTTTACCATGGTGGTCAAGCTTCAACTAACTCATGATTTAAAGTATAAAATTACTAAAATCTCCACAAAACCCCCTTCTGAAAATATCTAGTTGTTTTTAATATTATAATTAGTTAAATATATTTTTGAGTAAGATTATAATTTATGGATGACCTTTAAGTAATACTAAGATGACCTTGAAAATGTTCATCCACATACTAGGGTTAGGGTTAAATGAAGGCTATAAATTGGTAAGAGGAATCAGGATTAGAATTTGTGGTTGAATGTTTCCATCAGCTATAATGCTGAAACGATATTTAGCCGAATTGAGTTGATGAACCTCGATCCGAAATCTAAGATCTGTTATCTTAAATCTGATTGGCTTATTTATAAATTATAATCTCGCCGTCTATTTCTATTTAATATAATGAGTATGGACTTTGTCTTTTGTTGGATATTATTCATATGCTAATTGATGTTTCTTTCAATTCATTTGTTTGTATATTAGATATGATTATATCATTTGTAGACTTCATTTGTGAAGAGACAACTTTGATAAAACCTATTCATGATATCCGAACTCATTGATATACGCGAACTCTATAAAAGTAGTTGTATACTGTATTGTTATCTACTATTTAGTAATGATAAGAATGTATCGATTCATTTGAAATGTAATAATTAGTTAAATTAGCTTCTAATTCGACTTGTATTTTGTCTAATGTTAAACAGTTGAAGTTAATCGATGGGAGCTCCTGGTCTTATTGGCAATCACCACTAAGACGTATCTGTAATATTGAAGAAACTAATGTCATAGTCACTGAGTCATTTATGCCTCGAAAGATTTTCTGTAGAAAAGAGGAGTTTACACTAATCAGTCACCAACCGCTAACTAATTTTATTTTAATGAAATACCATGTTTATGAGTTATGATTAACATAAAGCCGAAGCCTGTAGCTTTCATCCAACTACATGCAACTCATTCACATATAAAAATGTCTCCGAACAATGCATATCACGATGACGACCATGCGTTCTCGCCGATTCTTGCAAAGTGAATGAGGTGATAAAATAACTTTAAAATATTATCATGGTCCTTTTTGATTTCGATAGTCCGTATTTTATTACTCAGTAGTTTCGTTATTGGTAGGATATACTTCAAATGAATTATCACAAATACAACTTTACTATACAATCAGTAACATCATGATTTGAATCACTTAACGATTAACTAGGGCGAAACATCATGCTTAGAGAGGATTATAGATTAGAAAGAAACTGAAATAAACCTAAATTGTGGATAATGAATCACCTTAAAAGTATATAGCCCTAAAAAAATTCATTATATTACTTAATTACTTAAACTAATGGTCACATATAACATAACTTGACCAATAAAAATTGTCTAACCTTGTTGTTCACGGATATGATCGATGTTATGACGCAATTAAGCAAACTAACCTATAGTTACCGATAAAATTCAGACTCATCATGAGACTTCATCCCAAACAGTCACATATATAAACAAATAGAACGACTATTCAACAATCAGTCTTTTAAATATGAAAAAATGATACCCAATGCATATAAATAGAATATTCGATAGAAAAATAAACATGATTAAAAATATTGCATTAAATGGGTGTGATCAGTAAATATGCGGTTCACAGGATAAGCATTCATGAACGAGACCAAAGGTCCTGGATTTAATTCCCAGTTACGGGTACTCACTGTTGAGGAGTCCTTTGCTAGGATCAAACAACCATCCAGTGTGCTATGACTTGACCTAGCCATCACCAATTTGTTATGTTTTTTGACCTAGGCGGTAGCCAATTGTTATGACTTGATCAAGGTCGTCGCTGATTCGTTATGACCTTACGAATTTAACAAGGACGTAATTCGCGTAAACTATCCACCAATAGAATACGACTTCTACGACCTTCACACTGTGACAATGACGTTCGATTAGTATGAGTAATCTTGCGTCCTTATTGGCCCTTATCCGCCTAACCCGTCCACTTGAGTCCAGAACACCAATAGCAGCCTCGGCAATACGAATCGTTTATTTCAAGCATACTTTGTTTATATATCAGACAGACAGGCCACATCATACCATAAAATAGAAAATAATATTTGTACAAAACCAGGCCAAATGAGGCTGTAAGCGTGGGAGACAATAATCAATAAAACTGAGTATAACATAGGAACAGTAAATCATATAGTAATAATCAAGAGGTCAAAATGAAGCTTACAATAAGATGAATATAGATATAGATAATCTAGTTACTGAATAGTTATACAATAAGAATGATAGTCCAATAGTAGGTCCTGCAAGTTACCCGTACTTATGTCTTCGCTACTATATAACACAGTGGTTTCCGGTCTTCAACGATGGTCTAGCTAAAATTAGTTCGTGATCTAAAAGGCACAAAGTTTCTGTAGTCTTTATTAAACCCTAAAGTGATAATTATGCTGTCTTTTTATCATTTTCTAGGAATTTCGATTTGCAACGTTCCGGTACTGTTAGCCCAGAAAATTTTCGAATTATTCTATTCAATCATTATGGTTATGAATTTACAAAAGAGAGTTTCAATGAATTTTTAAATTTGTTACCATTAGATATGAATGGAAATGTGAAATATGCAGAATTTATGCGGCAATTTAATTTAAAGTAAATGTTTATTTATTCATCCATTTTAGTCTGAATGATACTACTATCATATGATACAAGTAGTAGATCATGCCAAATGAATACTTGTTTATTTATAAACATCAGTATAACTTTATTAACGGAAGTGTGGGATGGTGGGAATTATTTTATTCAGTGTTTTTTTAAATCTGGTTGATGTATAAAATAGCCGTCCTTGACCCAACCGGGGTCGAATTCATTTCGGGTGTAAAGCAATTACTCACGAACGATATTAGATAGTTGTTTAATATCGCGAATCGATGGAAACTAGAAATCTAAACCATTGTAGATTAGTCCTAGATTGGAACAAAACAGCTTGTCTGATGCTTCTCACTTTGCAATTATTCTCAGTTTTTTCACTCTGTGATTGGAATTTACCTTATCCGGTTATCTTTTAATGATTTTCTAATAGAATTAGTTCGATTAGGTTGCAATGGGATCATCAATTTAACTCAATATTGTGATGAACTTTGATTGATGAAGCGTGACTTAATATATATTTGATAGAAAACTATGAATATAGTTAACACTTATCATCAAGAAACATTTGTAATGTCGAGTGACGTTACATTCCTCCTGGAATTCGATCTGTCGTCACTCAATTTCAAAACAAATCAGATCGTGTCTCCAATAACCGAACATAGTATCTCTGAGTGAGACAATGAATGACACTAACTCCAATCAAACTATAGTCGACATTGTCATCAAATTTATGTAACTGCCTTTTTCATATGGTTCAACTAGTAAGAAGTCTATATCAAGAGATTTACACCAAACTGCTTTTTTTAAATTATTATTTACATCAATTTCGTGACAAGTTTAGATTGTCTTATTCATACTTAAATATATACTTTTTTATAGTTGAGATCATTAGTGAATTGAAACTAGATAACCATGCAAAACCTAGAAGCACTGGACGGCTGTTTCGTCCTATTGTGGGACTTCTCAACAGTGCGCATCCACGATCCCACAATAGCACGAAACAGCCGTCCAGTGCTTCCAAGTTTTCCATAGTGAGCTAGCTTCAATTGAATCATGATCTCAACTATTAAAAAGAATTGCTATAATATCCACAAAACCCCTTGTGATACATACAATTGATCAATAACTGGGATAATTCTGCGTATTATATGGTACGGAATTATTGTTAAAGAACCATTTACTTAAAATAATCACTATGTCAAAAATACATTAAGTAGCTGAATCGTATCCATCTTGTTATACAATGGTAATTTAGAAATTGACTTATTCATTGTGGAAAATCAAATAGAGTCAATGTGTAGTTAAAATGTTGATACTTTTAATGCATTTTATTCTATAGCAGCTGTTACATTTAAATGAAAAATATGTAATTGAATTGGTGAATATAAAATAGTCATAACCTAATCAAAAGAAACAAACTAAACTTGTATTGTATGATCGTATTAAGTTGACTATTTTAAACATTTACTTTATTGATATGAGTATTTAAACAATATTGAAAATAAAGATGGATAGTGACTAGCAGTGGAATCCAGGACGCGCGTTTCGTCTTATTTGGCACTCGTCAGCTGGCTATCAAGATTCAGTAGCTGAGTGGATAACTCAATGGCATTTGAAGTGAAAGGTACTGGGTTCGAGTCCCAAAGTGAACATCAACTCTGAAATGCAGGCACATTCAGCTGACGAGTCCCGAATAGAACGAAAAGCGCGTCTTGGATTCCACTGCTAGCCGCTATCCATCTTTGCTTACATTGCTTGTGAATTAAGATCATATCGAGACAATACTCACAGTATGCATGTATGCCAATTAGAGACTAACCAGTTGCAATCCTAAACATCAATGAGAAGATTCAAACAAACAATACTAAGTGAATTTAGTATTGAAAGTCTTCCATTTCATAATTTTGTACTGAACAAGAACATAAATGGGAACAGTCGACTATATAGAATCTCTTAGTAAAATCTGAGAATCATACAGTAAATACTTCATTTGTAAAATTTCAATTAATTGTCTCAAACTTGACTGTTCCTTTTGTAAATATCAGTCAATTATCTCAGACTTTATTGTTCTTTTGTTTCTACATCAATTATTCTTTGTTCTCGTTCAATTTTCTTGGATCTTCTTAACCTTCTGCCTCCAGGCATTTCACTTTCTATTGATGGTACATACTACTTATACCTCTCGATATCAGTAGTACACACCATATTTCATTTGTCGGCTAATTGCGGATAAATATTCTTTATTTTGTATTAGTTTATTAGTAGGCTTTTTTGAATAAATTGTCTAAATTTTCATATACTTGATATCTGACTATCGATGTAATAGAAGATGAGGATTTATTCCTATCTAGGACTTACCGGTTGAGTGTATCGCTACTTCAGTGTTCAATTTTAAATTAAAACTCCGACTCAATCTACAGTGCTAACGCCTCGTTGATTAAACTACATAGTTAATATGACTATTCGCTTGTTTAATAGCTATGAAGACATCAATGAGAGTTTGTAATTTCCCATTGCTGGCATTTAGGACTGAGTTTTGATCAGGTGATGTTGACATTTCACAATTGGTATAATTCAAACACATAATAATGATAATAATAATAATGGTAACAATAATATAAACAATATACTCGTTGAAAATGTCGGCAGCTATCTGAATAACACGCTGGTATTTAAAGAGAAAAGTGTTTAGTTCGAGTCTAACCCTAGATTCCACTTCCAACTACGTACCAACTATATAAAAATGGGTTCCCTTACTCTGTAACAAGACAATCTACTCATGGTACACACATAGCAACATATATCAATGATTTACAGTCCTGAATGTCAGCAAAAGGTAAGTTCTTAAGCGTTGCTAATAAATTGGTCAAATCATTTTAATTTTCTCTATTTTTCAGAAGTGAAACGTGTGAACCATTATTAGAACAAGGATACAATGATCAATGTCAAGTTAGTCATATTATTGATGAGAAAAAAGTGTTATAATAACTGTGTGTGTTTTATGAATAAACGATCAGTTTAATGAGTTATCCATAGTGTAGTTGAGTAACTGATTAACATTCATGTCCCTCCTACCATAAACTTTATTTTGACTAATAGACTAGTATTATAAGATTTACGATTCTTGAGTTATAATAAGTTTATTAATTACAGTCTCCCGTAACCACAGCCACTTCTGGCTAGATCTTGTACAAATGTTATTTCCTATTTTGTGGTTTGATTTGGTCTGTTTGGTTTGTATATAAACTCAGTATGTTTGAAATACATTATTCATATCGCAGAAGCTAAGATTGGTGTTCTGAACTTAACAGTTAGGACTAGGCAGGAAGTAGGACCGATAAATACTCTAGACTGCTCGTACGAGTTTTATGCGTCATTGGTAGTGTCGCTAAAATCACTGTTCTCTAATTGGCGGTATCATTACGCCATATATTGATAGGGGCACAATGCCACAAGTTATAACAACTTATGATAAGAAAGAATGATTGAATATTGCTATTCTAAAATAAGTGATGACTACTGAATTGAAAAAAAGTAGTAGCTTATTGTTATTGTTTTATATTGAAAATGAAGTAGCCAATAAGCAGATAAACTTTCTTAATAATGATAGCCATAATCTGTTTCTTTATTAGAAACTGAAATAAATAGTATCTAATGTTTTGGTTTAAGTTTTCATAATCAACTTTCCAATCAATATTTTTATTCTTACCTTATTAGTACATACATATGTTTGGATATTTACTTGGAATTTTCCTGTTTTTTCTATGACTTTTCTAGTTGATTAATAAATTGAATGGACTTCGATGTGTTTACTGATTGTTCATCATCCTTGAAGACAGTTGTTGGCACATATTCTGCTAGGAGAGTGTTGATATTTCGGTTAGAAAAGATACTAAGAAGCTTGGAACTCAGATCACAATCAACAATCAATAAACACATCGAAATTAATCCAATTTATCAACCAGTCAAAAAAATCATGAATAAATATAGGAGCAAGATTTAAATCAAAAGCGAAGTGTTACGTCCTTCATCTATCTACTCACGTTCGTGCCGAGGATAATTTGCCTAATGTAGATTAAGACCTTGACGCGATAGACTGACTGGCTTAACCTTGAGGCTAGTATGCGTGAGTTTGAAGTGGGGTAGAAAGAAGAGAACTATTCTATCCCTGATTGGCTGACAAGCACGCGCCAGAGAGAAGACAAGACAACTGTAACACTACTCGCTTTATTCGAAAATCCGATCTGGTACCCCAATTCAGATTAGTGTCAAAAGATACATGAATAGATAGATGACTAACCTGTCCACAACGTTCAATAATTAGGAAAATACAATTATGCCAAAAACTGGGGGGATTAAAGTAGGAAATAGAGTACAAAAGGTTACGTCTAAATCACAATAGCTTTGGAATAGAAAATGCTATGGCAGTGAATCATACATTAAACGAAAGCTTATGATCTGTAGAATAGACTAGGGACAAAAATAAATGTTACAGTTTTACAGGGTTTGAATTAAACGAAATAACGTCCGAAAATAGCTTCCATAGTTTGTTTAGGCTTCTTGTTTTGCTATTCATATCAGGAAGACAATTATTGTAAAGAGGCAAGTGGTGGCAGTTTAAAGATTAACAAGATCAAGTTTATAAAAGTGAGCTGTGAGTCATATATGGACAAATTTGAATATCTCAGCTCTACTTGAAGATTCAAAGAATGCTGTTCAGAAGAAAAATGAAAGCTTCAGGATTAAGCCTTCCAGATCAGAGGACGATACTTCATCAAGATAAATGTATTTCCTGAATACAAGTTTGTTCGATTTACTTCATTTGATGAGACTTAACTTCAAAAATCCTATTTCCATTACTTATTAAATAATAATCTCATAAAGGTCTCTTGTAATGTAATCAGCTATTTTCACTAAATTATAACCTACTGACTATTAAATACATGTTAACCTTCGGTTTTTAGTTTGACAACTCTAACCTATCATCTACTATCACATCAAACAATACAAACAATAACAAACAACAATCATTAATTGAACAAACTGAATATAAACCAACTAATGAAGCTCAAGAGTTATCCGTTAATCCTATACCTCCTAAACAACGTACGTTGAAAGAATTAGAACAAATTATTCGTGAAGCGCTAAAATCAAATATTCATGAAATTGAAAATAAATTTTATGAATTAGATCAATATAATTCAGGTCGATTAACCCAAGAACAATTATATCAATTACTTAAAGTGTATGTGGTTATTATTTAAATGTATGATTTTTGAAAAATATATATATATATATGTCGGAAGGGGTTTTTTGTGGAGATTTAGTATTTTCATAGCTGAAAGCATGAATCAGTTGACGCTAGAACACCATGGAAAACCTGGAAACACTGGCGGGCCGTTTCGTCTCATTATGGGACTCATCACCAGTGCTCATTCATGACCTCAGTTTGCGAGATTCCAACCTAGGACCTACCAGTCTCGCGCCAGATCACTTAATCGATAGACCACTGTGCCAGCCGGCATCAAACGGTGTTAATGTCTAACTTCAACCAATCTATGAAGTTCAGCAACCGTTCACCAATGTCTTCAGTGAGTTTCTATTTCACAACAGACGTGGTTTGAACTCCACTGATCACTGCTCCTCACCAGAACTCTTGGGTTCGCCTTTCGAAGTCAGTTGTGGATGGTTCTCATTTTTACGCTACAAGCGCCCATCTAGTTTCTCATATGGGAAGAACTTAAACGTCATCAGTTCGTTTTCTCTTTTAGTATGCTATTTTATGACGCTTCACTAAGACGTTTTTGTATTGTATATATTTTGCATAAGTTGAGTACTTGTTATTCGTTCTTTCAAGCTGCTAGTGGAACTATATATATTTCATGCTGACTCTGGTCTTCTTTATCTAGTCAGTGAGCCTGAGGCGTAGAGGAATAGCTCACATTCGTCCTATTATTGTGTTACTGATTTACGCCATTACCAAAGTGATATCATAATATAGCAAACATAGCAACTTACTAATCCTCATTGATAAATTAGATTTTTGACACTTGATTTCCACCCCATGAGTTTGACATTGCATTTTCAACCTCTCAGCTAAACTAACTATCATTAAACAAACAATATAGAGAAGCTGTTGTTAATTTTTATTTTAGTCATCAGTCAGTTAGTCAATCATAAGCAAAGTAGAACCAGACAAATATATGGATCAGTTCATGTCTTAAGAATTAAGTACAATAAAACCAAGCAATTAACACAAGTATCAGAATAGTAGAAGTAGTAATGATACCAGTAATGTTGGAAAAATCCAAGAACAAACAATCTGGTTCGAAAAGAAAGAATAAATTAGAGGAATAAAAATGAATAAGATAATCTTTAGACACAAGGTCTAAGAGGAGATAAAGAATGAATGCATTTACGTCATCGCGACTAATTTTCAGCCATCTCAACCAACGTCTTCAACCACAGATTGCGGTTATCGCACAGACCACAATCAACTAGTCTGAAACTACTTACCTGGTTCACTCCAGTAGTCAGTTGCCTAATGGATTGATGTCATATCTTGATTCGGACTCATTTAGGTTCCTAACAAACTAATACCGCTAAGCTAGCAAACATCGTACCATCAACTTCAGTCGGCTGATAAGCTAGTGTTCATGATGTGGAAAAAGTCTTATCTTATTATCATATACATAAAATTTTAATTACACTACTGAAATTAGCAGCTAAACAGACTGATGAACGATCTTTGGTAGCGCTGTATTAATTCCCTCAATGATCTAAACACTACATTTGTTGGAATACAATCATCTCATGATAGGTAATCACTAGAAAACCACGGTCGGCCTAGTTTTTTATCGGATGACACATATCACCATGTAGTACCTGTAATTTTCAGGAAATTAATAATAACGGTGGGATGTAAACTTACTTCACCTATCTCTGTTGTCTGAGAAACTATCACTGAGTTACTTGGACTATGAACGGTATTCTGTAGGACTGAAATATTTGCAATCAATTGTATTGTTTTAAGTCGTTTGTTATGCAAACAGATGAAATAATCTATCATCGAGACCCACAATCTGCTTTTGGTTGATTTATCAAAAGTGACTATAATTTGTACTAACAGCACTTCTAAAAAATTATGAGTCCCATTGAGTATGACGTCAAAGCATTTAGAAAGACGAAGATTTTTTTCTTTGGTGAATAATATTTGATTGTAAAACCTTCAGCCTATTGATTACTAGAACTAACTGGACTTGAAAATAAAGAACCATTTGTTTCAAACTCAGGAAACACTCTTACCGCGAAACATGGAGGATTAAAGTTCGACCGTTAGTGGGGCTTTAGTTTACACCCCTGATTGACTTTAGTCAAACAACTGTGCAAGGTGTAATGAAGTTACCCATTGATGGCATTAAGAGATAATCGTGCCATATCGCAAGTTGATTGAACCTTAAAATGTAAACCACGGGATATCAAGTCACTAGTGTAAACATTAAATGCTCACCTGAAGACTCAAAGGTCTCGGGTTCGGTTATCGGTGGAGTCGTGGATCCGTACTGTTAGGAAGTATTACACTTGGATTTCAGCAGTTTACATAATGTACCGATATTAATTATTCAACTGTTGAAAAATAAAAAGCACTGGATGGCTTTTTTGCCCTAGTATACGAACCCCTAAGAGTTCGCATATACGATCCCACCGGGGGATTGTATACAAAAGCACCGATTAGAACTATTCTTCTTGTTGGATAAATGTTCTGCCTTTGATATAAGTTCCCTAGGGAGCATTTGTGTCAACAACATCATGAGTAATCATGATTCAATTAATCTATACCTATCAGTCCATGAGGCCAGTCTCAAATCCAGATACATACATAGCTTATCCCCATTGTATTAAATACACATGAACGGAAATTCATCTATCACTGTAAACTAGTAACTAATAACACTCAGTCGAATATAACTGAAGATACTTAAACTACAACGAGTTCCAATATGGTATTAGTTATAGCTGTCATATTTTTATAAACATGCTCACTGTTTGTTTACTACAATAATATATTTTTTCCTACCCCTATTGCTACATTCTCTACCATCCCATTTTAATCCTTTTCTATTTAACAGTTCCAATATTCGACCAGAAATAACGCGTGGTGAAATAAGAAGATTATGGCCAGAATTTTTTGTTGATCAAAAACATTGCTTATCATTTCATGAATTTATGCGACATTTTCTTTACCGAAAATCAGAAGCTGCATATCCAAATGCTAAATTTGTACCTCCGCGTCTAGGTGATGCTGATTTAATGCCATGTTCAAATAAACTGAATGGTGTCACTTGTTTGATAAAGGATTCATTACGTGCAAAAGTAATCGCTGGTCATATATTTTGACTTTTGACAAAATGTTTATTATTTCATTTTGAGTTACAGTTAAGTGATGTCAGTAGTATATAGATTATTATAACTAAAAGGTGACAGGTGTTTAGGGCATCAATGAAAGTTTGTTTCGTTACAGAGATGAAAACTAATGATATTCTATTTACATAGAACAGATGGGATGTAGCTAGCGATGCAATAAATGAAGCATGTCTCGTCTTATTTAAGACTCGTCAACAGGATGCGACTGCGTTCCAGAGTTAATATCCGCTCCGGGACTCAAACCTAGTACTTTTCACTTCAAACGCTTAATATGTCATCCACTTAGTTACTGAGTTCAAACCAGAATTCATTATTAAATTTTAGTATAAGCATGAAAAGTGGGACAATTAATTAAGGGTTAAAATTGATACTCGCTACACAGGTGAGTGGCTATCCAATCTCAGTAACTAAGTGTTTGGAGCGAAAGGTGCTACGTTTGTGTCCCAGAGTGAATATCAACGCTGGAACGCAGATACATCCGGTCGGCGTGTCCTAAACAAGATGAGACGCATGCCGTGGATTCCACTGCTAGCCACATTCCATCAATTCTATGTATATATGTATATATACACAATATCTACACATCAATACTTTCAAAGTATCCTTTTAACATTGTCAAAAGATAACTTAATCCCACAGCAATTGACACTAAAAGTCTAAAATGTTTTCAACACTGTGACTCCATGTCATCTACTTGATAATGAATATGACGTTAACATTGAAAAATCCGCCAAGTCAGTCAGTCAGCTACGAAGTAGGACCAGGCACATATATGCATCGGTCCAAGTTGTCATACCTCGTTAGCACACGAAACTCACCAAGATAATCAGCAAACAACTTTGTTGTGTGTTCTTTTAAAGTATCTCTATAAAAATGCCTAAACTGGACTTATGAGCTCAACAGGATACCATAAACAGACGCCGGGATTTCGGTTTCAAACATTTAACAGTATGGCATTTTATTTCATGATCTCAGTCATGAATTTATTTTCTACAATAAAGACTCATTTTTGACATTCACTCATTCATTTTACTCTGTTAATCTAAACCTTCTTACAGTCATGATTACGCAACTTTTGACATTTTATTTCCTAGAATCTTGTCTTTACTTATTTTAATATACTTCGATAAAATTGTACTGGACTAACGATATTCATTGACTTACCAGCCATTAAGGAAATCCTGCCCTAGTTATAAAACAATTAACAATACAATGTAGTGAAATAACAGTGGAATAACACCTTTGATTGTTATAATCAACCCTCAAAAGTCAGACGATCCAAAGTAGTTAACAAAAAAAGGGCAAGTTTTCATATATACATACATATTAGGAGTCGGGTTGATGTTGTTAGTTAGGATTATCATCCTATAGAGTTCTCTTCACCAACGGATGCCAGTTATAATGGTAAAAGGTTAGAGTTACATATTGAGAGTTAAATTGAAGTTTTGAGTTAGTTTTATAGATTAAGGTCAACATTTTCAAAATGAACGGATATAAGCTATAATGCAATGCCTTGCCATCTTTCCATTCACAAACTTGATAAATATAGGGTTGAGATTTATTTTTAGCTCAAAAGTGAAATGTTTATTTTCGATATAAATCATTGTTCTTGCTTTTATAAAATGAAACTGTAAGAAGTTAGAGACTAGTATATAATGCTAAAATATTCTTTTATTTAGAATATATGGCTTATGATCAGTCCGTTTCGATCCGTTTGCAACTCGTCACCTGGACATACTTAAATCTGTGTTTATGTTTACTTTGAGTCCCAAAGTCAGTACCTTTCACTTCAAAGGCCTAATGCGTCATCCCCTAAGTTATTGAGTCTAGATGGCCATTAACCTTTCCGACGGGTATAGTTTCTGTATCATTATTATTAAAGGTCTGTATTGTTCCGTTTTCTGAATATCGGGACAAAATGTTGACCAGTGTTTGTTAGCGTTTATACATCCTATGTGAATTTCTTCAATATTGAGGATAAAGTATTGGTACTTTTTAACTAAAATTACTGGGTTCGAGTCCGCGTGTGAGTATCAACGTGGGGATATAGGTGCATTCAGTTGATGTTTCCCAAAAAAAGTGAAATAAATATCATGGATTCCACTCATATCCACGACCTAGCTATTCTATATAACTTGTGACAGAATTGTCATATAAAAGCAATTCTCTGAAAATGACTTTTCAAAAATTCAGTCCTGCATATTACTAACCGGATAAGTTAAATCTTTAATAATGACAGTACATTTAACTTTCTATGCCTTCGAGTCACATCTTGGACTTTAACCCGCTTTTTATTTTGTAGAAAATCTTCCTGAATGAAGATTAGGATTTCGTCTTATTATTACTATTACTGTTTTCGAAATCTCTTTTTTTCATTAGATAGATTTTATGTTTGATCGTTTATATAAAGAGTTTATTGAAATGGATCCTAAAGGAACTGGATTTATAACACCTAAACAATTGAATGATATATTAATAGAATTATGTTTACAAGTATCTGACAGAGAAATAGATGATTTAATTGAAAAGTTTGATATACATAAAGATGGAAAGTAAGTCTCAGTTGCTTCTTAAACAATCTGATTTTTAATGACGATAAGTGTTCTGCTTTATAAGCTAGATAGTTTAATCAAACAGCTGTTATCTTCTTTCTAGACAATAAAATCATCAGTTAATAGAATTCACTTACGAGTGATTAACGGTTTTCTCTGTTGTTTTATTTATTTATTTAAACACATAAATATTGGTACAAAGGGGCACCAGATATATATGCGCCACACAAATCTCATTTGATTTGTGTGAGGGCGGAGATACTGCCCAGGTGGCCAAACTGAAGCAGTTGGTTTTCTTAGGGTGGGTCACATCCCGAGCCTTCTACCTAAAGATATGATCCACAAGGCAATGAAGCATCTTGAGGAGATGCAGTCCCATGATAGCCGGTGACCAACGATTCCTTCAGGATACTTGAGCCCATGTGCACCATTGGTTTGGAATAAGGGTTATTCAACTCTCCTAGGTGGACACTAAACATCCACTAACCTAGTTAAAGCGCCAGACATTCACTTTTCGTCCTCTCAATTTCGTAAACAACATCCTCGGCACGAGAAGGCAGTGAGTAGGACTTCCCTGACAGAGGCTATATACGCGCGACCTTGTGAGAGTATTTCGAGAGAGAGAGAGCGGACTCTCCCCAATCTCGGCAGTACTAGGGTATTTGGGAGCTAGAATGTGACAGTTCGTTGTCCATAATTATGCTGTTCAGTGTCCCGATGCATATGTGCTAAAATCAATACATATGGGTAGTCATGATGGATACGTTCAATTTTTTAGACAGGTGAAATACAAGGAAAATTGAGGAGATATTTTAGAGGTCTACTATTATGTTCAATAAGTAATTAACAGACATGTTGCCACCAAATGCCCTGGTATGGAGGAAATACTCTAACATAGTCACGCGCAATACAGCCTCTACCAGGGAAGTCCTACTCACTGCCTTCTCGCACCAGAGTGTTGTTTACGAAATTGCGAGGACGAAAAGCGAATGTCCGACGCTTTAACCGGGTTGGTGGACACCGAAAGTACACCAAGGGTAGTTGGAAAACCCTGATTCCAAACCAATGGTGCACATGGGCTCCAGTATCCTGAAGGAACAAATGGCGTATAAATCAATCGTTGGTCACTGGCTACCATGGAAATGCATCCCCTTACGATTCTCCACCACCTTGTGGATTAGACCTTTAGGTCGAAGGCTCCAGGTGTGTCCCCCTAAGAGGACCACCTGTTTCGGTTTGGGCACCTGGGCAGTATCACAGTCCTCACACAAATCAAGTGACTTGTGTAGCGCATATTCATCTGGTGCCTCTTTGTACCAATATTTATGTGTTTAAATAAATAAATAAAACTCAATCTATCATCTAATGTGGAAAATGATAATTAACTTCAAAGTTAGGAATTAGGCCAGGTAAAAAAGTTTTCAAAATAAATATGTAAACAGTGACAGTACAATTATGGTTAACAGCCAATCAAATCCGATATCGACAGGATTATATAGTTTCGCAGTTGTAAAAACAAGGTTAAGTAGTACATTTCGTTTTTATTTTTCCGGTGATGATGACACTCTAGCAAGATCATATAATGCATCTCAGAGAAAAGAATATGTCTAAAAATCCTCCCTGTGAGTCGTAAATCACTACCATCATTTCATGAGTTGATATACATTTACGTAGGATACTAAATAAAGATAAAAAGTCGGTTGAAGAATGTTCGACTACTAACGTGGTTAGGACATTGATTTAAGTATGCCAATCTATCACCTTCCTCGATGTGCTATATTAACTGATGTATGAGTAAGCTAGAAGAAAGACTCCCAAACCAAGATGTGGAATCAGTCTATGAAGTAATTATCAGTTGGACTGGATCCTACTGACGGATTGACTATCTGGTTATTGTCTGGTAAAGTATTGTGACACTGTTCAAAATCGGTTGCAAAAGTATTAATGGATTCACTGTTTGTCCTCCCCTAGTTCTTAAGTTTTAAAATTATATTACATTTTTTTATTCCACTAATTCACTCTTCTCAAATTATACTATCAAAACCTTATATTTTTCACTGCTATCACTTTAAATATTCTGGTATTTGTTTTGATAGACTAATCTCGCTATGTTGATATGGTGAGACAACATGAACTGATCTACATAAGTGTCATGTTATATGTTACGTCTGTCTTATTAACCAAATTTTACCTAATATCACAATCATAAATGTTACCATTGAACTATAAAATCAGTAACTAACTAACTTGTATGACATAAATATCCATAAAAATCGATTATTGAATAGTAACCAATATCATGAATCAAAACTATAACGTCTTCCTAATCCTATAGTTGAAATCATGAGTCAATTGAAGCTAGATCACCATGGAAAACCTGGAAGCGCTGGACGGCCGTTTCGTACTGTTGTGAGACTCCTCACAAGTGCACATCCACGATCCCGACTCGCGAGATTCCAACCCAGAACCTATCAGTCTTGCGCCAGTGCACTTAACCACTAGACCACTGAGCCGGGCGGCATTCAACGGTGGTAATGTCTAACTTCAACCAATCCAAGAAATTGAGCGACACATCCACCATTGTCTTCAGTGAGTTACTATCACACGAAAGACTCCGTTGAACTCCACTGGTCACTGCTTCTCACGAGGCGGGATCGTGGATGCGCGCCGCTGAGGAGTTCCACAATAGGACGAAACGTCTGTCTAGTGCTTCCAAGTCTTCCATGGTTTTCTTAATCATTAATCGTATCTTCTACCATTGTGATTAACAATTAAGAAGAGAAGTAATACATGTATCGTATCACGTATGTGAAATAAATTTAATGGACATGGAGGTGGGCGCGAAATTTATGTTTATGGAAAATTGATACATTTGTAACAAAATAAGCGATCAATTCATATGTCAATTGAAGATATTCGAATTAACTACAATGTTTGTTTTTTAAATAAAACAAATACATATTAGATTGGTTGAAGTTAGACATTAACACCGTTGGATGCCGCCCGGCTCAGTGGTCTAGTGGTTAAGTGCACTGGCGCAAGACTGATAGGTCCTGGGTTGCAATCTCGCGAAGTGGGATCATGGATGCGCACTGCTAAGGAGTCCCACAATGGGACGAAACGGCCGTCCAGGTTTTCCATGGTGATCTAGCTTCAATTGACTCATGATCTCAACTATATAAAACTACATATAAAATACATACTTATTCATTCATATCTGAATTGTAACAATTACTTACTTATAGGGTATGTACATGTGTGCGTTTCTTTTTCCAATTTAGGATATCATATCTTGCGTTATTACAACCTTTCATAAGAAATCGTTTGCTTAAATCAGACTTAATACATAATAAACCGGTTATACATAACTTAGCAAACAAGATACTTGGTGTACAAGAAGTGAACAAATTCAAATCATCTTTACTACCAATATTAAATGAAGTTCGACCAAAAGTACCAGTAAGTTGTTCTTTGTTTTGATGGATCAAAGATTCTTAATTATAGCTGAAATAATTAAGATCTTTTGGTAAAAGCCAATCACAATCCGAAAAAATTACTCCCGAATTTTTGCAGTCAATTGAAAATGAATAATTCTTATCTTTCATCCCATATCGTTCCAGCCTCCAAAAAGATAAACCAGGCAAAATTATGGCATATAGGGACGAGTCAGTCAAAATCGAGAATGTAACGTTTAAGTTTTTGTGCAAAATTCATACACTACCCAAAATGTATTAAATGATAATGAAAGATTATTTTTCCCACCACAAAGTACGAATGATAATGTTAAACGTTCCAAGTATTCAATTTTATCTTTGTAGATCGCACATAACAGGCGAGTCGACATTACAGTGTTGATTCACAGATATATCCCTGAATCCTGATCTTGAATCATTAACCCTGAAACAATCATTAGGCTGTTGGCAATTTGTTTTATAAACAAACTAACTAAATTTATTCATTCATACTCCTACAAAGCACTTTATATTATAGCTGACATCACTTAGTGATAAAAACTCTAACTCCAAACTCTATCCCGAAATTCTACATCCATAAAAATGAGTTTCTATGTAGTTGCTTCTTGACTTACAAGCAGAGTAACCTGTAGAAAGCTTTGATAGATTTATTACACATGAAAAATCTGTATGTATTTGGAAGTATAATCGTTTCCCTTTCCATAATGGTTATTTTCTGATTGTCTAGAAACTAGCTGCTCTTATCTTAAGTTCATCCTGATACAATACTTTCACTAAAGATCCCTTCTGCCATAGTAGAATGGAAATGACCATGTGATATCTATATTACATTACACGTGACTCAATCAGTTTTGTCACAATAAACTTTGGTTTACAGAATAATGGGTGATTTAATAAATCACTGATGCAAAGATTGGGTAATAATTGATCATTTGATTGAGTGATTGTTAAAATCTACACTAATTTTGACTGCATTTCTCTATACTCCTAAGACATTAAGGTCCTCTACAATTCTATGAATCTCTTTGTTTTCTCTATATTAACTAACCTTTTAAATAGTAAACAAAGATGGATAGTGGCTGACAATGGAATTCAGGATGCGCGTTTCGTCCTATTTGGGACTGGTCAACTGGATGTACCTACATCTCAGAGTTGATGTTCACTTTGGGACTCGAACCCAGTACCTTTCGCTTCAAAATGCATGGATAACGCGATGACGTTTGTCTTTAAATAGTGTTTTCAACTTATGTGTGGTTCAAGTGACAAAGAACCTAAAAAGTTGGTATTAAATATATTCAGTGTAGAAAATATATCACAGTTAATATTCCTACAAGAATAACAATCAAATCGATTCATTTTGATCTCATCTATGTTTTCTATAATTTAGATTTCTCAATTAAATTGGAATAAAATGCTTAGATCAATGCAAAAAGCTGATAAAACAAATTGTGGTCGTTTAGATGCTCCAATATTTAGAGAATTATATCAATATGGTACTGGTGTACATTTAACAGATGAACAAGTTTATCAATTATTAACAACACTTGATCCTAATATATCTGGTACTTTACCATATAAACGTTTAATTGAAGATACACAATCTATAATTAATCATTATGAAAGTAAATATTCATGTAAGTTACAGAAAATAGAAGAGAATTGCTCAAATATGAATGAACATAATGATAAACAAATAGATAATCAAGGAGATCATTTGAATATGAATTAAGTAGTATATATATAGGATTATCTTAGTAATATCTTTATCTTTGTTATATTCATATTATGGTTGCTAACCGATATAATGACTTCTATGATTGATGATTAGTAAATAGGAAAGTTATTTTTTTTTGGGAAGAACTATTTATACATTTTTTTTATTATTATGATCTATGTCAAATCTGATTGGTTCATTAAATTATATTGACTCTTCTTATTGATGGGGATTGGATTGGTTGAAAGTTTTCTTCTTTTTTTTTCTTTTCTTTACTTTTTTTTCTCTTTTTTTAATATTTTAACTGTGATAATCTTAAATAATAATTCGGATAATATTTGAAAAAAAATTCTTAATTTACATTAAATTGAATATAGTATATTGAAATTATTTGAAAGAAAAATAAAATGTAAATGTAATATATTCTCATTATTGTGATATTCTCCTCGATGAGAGGTAACAGGCTGAAGTAAGTGAGTAAGTCAGCTACAACCTAGGACCAAGCACGCGTATGCATCGGTCGAAGTTGCCATACCCCGTTAGCACAACAAGATGAACACCGAATTCATAGAAGTAGTTAATTTAGTGGTGGTGGTAGTATATAAATTATAGATTGTATATAAGGATATAGTACAAGAAGGAAAAAAGTTATGAAGCAATTTTAACCTCAAGGTTTAAGGGAAGATAAAGAGTGTATACACCTACGCCATTGTGATCGATTCTGAGCCATGTCACTCACAGTCGCCAACCATTGGTTACGATAGTCACGCGAACCCCGACCAGGTAGTCTGCATCTACCAACATGGCTCAGGCTAGAAGTTAGTGACTTCAGGCTCTGATGCCACGTTTTGATTTGGCCGCCCCTAACTCCCTTCCAACCATTGCCAACACTAGTCAGCATAGCGCGCGGGAGTAAGTAATAAATAAGATAATGTGCAAGTTTACTTAAGGGTACACAAATTATATATCGTTGAAATCATGAGTCAATTGAAGCTAGACCATCATGGAAAACCTGGAAACACTGGGTGGCCGTTTCGTCCTATTGTGAGACTCCTCACAAGTGCACATCCACGATCCCGACTCGCGAGATTGCAACCCAGAATCTATCAGTCTCGCGTGCGAGCGCTTAAACTCTAGAACCACTGAGTCGGCAGGCATCCAATGGTGTTAATGTCCAACTTCATCTAATCCATAAAATTGAGCCACACATCCACCAATGTCTTCAGTGAGTTGATATCTCACACACAAATTAATTAAATATTATTTTATGATTAAAAATTGATTGTCTGGAATACAATATAGGGATAAGTTAAAAATAGCTTTAATAAATTTTTTAGTTATATGTTACATAATCAGAAAACAGAGTTTCTAAATGGAAATCTATTGAATGACATCTACTTATTGTTCTGTTTTTAAGGTGAAAAAATGACGTATTTGTTCAAATGGATATAGATTATCTGTCTTCTATTATAGATACATAAACAAATATTTTCATAGTTGAAAACATTAGTCAATTGAAGCTAGACCACCATGGAAAAATATGGAAGCACTTGACGGCCGTTTCGTCCTATTATGGGACTCCTCAGGTTTCTGTAGTGGTCTAGCTTCAATTGACTCATGATTTCAACTATGAAAATACTGAAATATTCACAAAAACCCCTTCTGATACATAAACAGATGTTTTGGGGTTGTCGCTTTGTTCCTGGTTGACAAATTAAGGTCAACTGTATGTCATATGACCCGTAGAATATCATGTGACAAATCACCAATCAGAGGACCGAATTATATGAACTTGTCCCTGTGCTAAATCAGCAATGAGTTAACCAACACGAGAACCTTAGAGTCAACTCTGTGTCATTATTAGTCCTCAATATAGTAAAAATATAAACAATAATTTCCAGTAGAACAGTCCCGAAAGTTCAACTTTGCTTAATACTCACCAAGTTTTATCAGAGTAACAATATGAGCTTGAAATCATTTATATTGTATCTACCAATGAAATCTGCGACTGGCTTTGCGTCTTAATTTGTATTCGTCAGTTCAGTTCATAATTTAATTTTTTCAAATAGTGAGTAAAAATTCACTCTAGTAAAGGCTATATAAATCTGTAATCCTATAGGTAAACAACAAAATGTAAGGTCGACTGGCTATACAAATTATCTTAACAATATAACTCGACTTTTAAGAATATTTCATTAACTATCATTTGGATTACCACACCATTTCATTGGTTAGTATTTGTTATGCTCTTATGCCCTAGTAATTATCACGTGACTGAGTCACCAATTAGATCATCGACCTATATGACCTTGGCACTGCCAGGCCAACGACGCGTTAACCAGTACGAGCAGCCCAGAGTCAACTTTGATACCTTATCGGTTCTTCTCGCCTAGCCCTGTCCGTTTGAGTTCAGAACACAGTCTTATATTCCACTGTATCAATCATGTATTTCAGACATACTCAGTTTATATACAGGCGGATTAGGCCGCATCACGCCATAAAATAAAAACTAAAAATTACATACGATCAAGCCGAAAGTGACTGTGAGAGATTGTAACTAGTAGAATGGGGATAATTTAAGAACGGTAAATCATATAATAGTACTCAACAGGTCAAATGGAAGCTTATAACAAAAAGAATATGAATATACATATGATATAGTTACTTAGTAGTTGTATAATAATATACATAATAACAGTCTATAAATAATTCATAGAAGTTACCATTCGGTTATTTTCCATTCTCATATAACAGTTACAATTAAAGGTTTAGAGTTAGAGATTTAGGACTATGGCATCCCGGCTACAATTCGGATCAGGACTAAGGGTTTCAAGTTAGAATTTCGGTATACAATTGACTTATGCGCAATATATAATCTACTTAGAAAGAATTGAGCATTTAAATCGTTTAACATTATCATTTTTGTTATTCGACAGAAACTAACTTAGAGCAATTATTTCAGACATTCGGAACATTAAACAAACGTAATTTTACTCCTCGTTTTATATGACATAATACAAAAGTGAGAGCCAGGAGTCCTAACCGCTAGACCACGCGGGACATAACATAAAGGTTATGCATAACTGAAATTAGCTCAAAAATAACCCAAAAGTTGTTTCCTTGGTTCTGATTAGATCACTTTTATATCAGAATTTAACCGATTGGTTATGGTTTACTATAACGAATTCTTAAAATAACATGACTGCGATCTCATTAAATCACTTTCTTTAAGGCAGTAAAACATTATTTTGTAGCACATGCTGTACTGATCACATTTACATCATTGTCATAACACTACCTATCAACTTCAGAATTTTTAATGCGATGATGTAGTGAGATCTGGTCATTCAAATATTCTTGTCCTCTACAATCCTCATCAATTGTATAGCCAGAATTTTTTAAATTCTTCAGTTTATTATTGACAACTATATCACTCCCAATTTCAATGGACCTGATAAGCCAGATTGGGAAGTCTAAATGTAGATCGGAACGTCCATCCTGGGTTCTCTGGTTTTCAGAAATTGCTCAGTTGAGATCAATTTGTGGTAATAAAAACTGTAATCCAGCAAGTGGCTATCAGGACTCAGTGGATAACGCGATGGCGTTTGAAGCGAAACGTACTGGGTTCGAGTCCCAGAGTGAACATCAACTCTGAGATGCAGGCACATTAAGATGACGAGTCCCAAATAGGACGAAACGCACGTCCTGGATTCTACTGCTAGCCACTATCCATCTTTGCTTACCATGCCTGTGAATTAAGGCTATACGCACAGTATGCACATGTGCCAATTAGAGATTGACCAGTTGCAGTCCTAAACATCAATGGGAAGATTCAACCAAACAATACTAAGTGAATGTAATCCATATTATTCAACCAAATTTAGCTTTATATACAGAAGTTCATTTGTCGGTGAAATAAATACACCTTGTACAAAACCTCATATGATTTTTGAAAACCATTCATTTCTAAGGAAGTATTTCTTTTCAAGTAAATATCCTCCTAAGTAAATGAATATATATAAGATTATAATTTTCATTTAAAATAGAATCAGTCAGTCAGTAACAACGTAGAACCAGACACATATAAGCATAGGTCCAAATTGCCACACCTCATCAGCACAATAAGATGAACATCAAATTCCTGAAAGCAGTTACTGCAGTGGAAATAAAAAAAGACATTTCATATCAGGATATGATACAGGGAGAAAGAATTAGTTCGTAGAAAGGTGTAAAATAATTTTAATCTCATTGTTTAAGGGAAAACAAAGAGTGTATACACCTACGCCATTGTAATCGATTCTAAGCAATGTCACCCAGAGTCTCCAACCATCGGTTACGATAGTCGCACGGACCCCAAACAGTGAGACTATATGTTAATAGAAAATTTATATAACATAACACTTGACTTGTAAGAATTGACACAATAGTGTTATAATTCTTGGCTCTAATAACGAAAATAACTTAAACTAATGTTATATCTTGTGGCCGAGTGGATGCCCAGTTAATGTATGACTTGATAAAACCGCCAATCAGAGAGCAGCGAATTATCGATTGGAACAGTGACACACAAAAACCGTACGAGCAGTCTACAGTGCCTACCGGTCCTGCTTCTGCCTAGCCCAGCCAGTTAAGTCCAGAAAACCAATGACAGCCTCTGCGGTATGAATCATTGTATTTCAAACATACTGAGTTAATATACCAAACAGACTGACCACATCGTACCAAAAAAATGGAAAATAACATTTGTACAAGAGTTAGCCAAATGTAGCTGTGAATAGGGGGAGCAGTAATTAATAGACTGGGTGTAACTCAGGAATAGTAAATCGTACAATAATAGTCCAAAGGTCAAAATAAAGCTCACAATGAAAAGAACATGAATTTGAGTAGTTTAATCATTTAGCAAATATACGATAAAAATTATATGCATAATATTGGTCCATAAATGGATCCCAAAGTTACCATTCACTATTGTCATCGGGGTATAACAATTCACTTCCTAAAACTTTATCTTTCTATGATGTGATCCATACGAGATGTAACAAAAAGATGATATAATAGTTCCGAACACACATCACTGTGAACAGTATTTATGAAAGATGTGAAGATATTACATCGAAATATCAAGTGAGAATTTCATATCAAAAATAAAACGCACATACAAATGATTTTTCAAAATAAATTACAAATACTCATCTATAAAAGAAATAGTAACTAGTATAGGAGGCTTGTGAAGTTATTGAATTTAATTGAATTGAACATTCAGCATTTTCCATAAATCCCTTACACAAATAATGATTATATGACTGCGTAAGAGAGGCGATCCCCTGAGTTCTAGTGGGAAGCAATAATCAATGGAGCTCAGTCATGTCGTATATGAGGCAGTCACCCACTAATCGCATTAATAGTTATACAATATCATTAGTTGATTAAAGTTAGAAACGCACATTAACGGATGTCGGCTCACTACCAAACCTAAATTTTTTTATTTCCACACCAGGTAGGACAGGGTATATGCATTGCTGAAGAGTCTAATACTGGGGAGAAGTAACAGTCAAGTATCATCTGGTTTCTGATAGTCGTCTAACTAACGTTGGTCAATGATATAAACCATAAAAAAACAATTAGCTGAGATGGTTTTCGTTATGGATCAGCTTCAATTAATGAACCACTAGAAACTATGGTGACACTGAATAGACATTCTGACTTAGACTAGAACCCCAGTGTCATAAGAATACACAACCTTAAGACTATCGTGTCCCCATTAAAACGTGCCTAAATAAAACAAAAGATAACTGTTAGGGAACAAATGTGCCTCTAATCACATCTAGAATACTGACTCTCGTTCTACTAAGCATATCGTGCAAAATGTGCAGAAAGTTAATTCAAGAGTAAGTTCGCTTTAGTTTAGGTCATAGATGCATACATTACGTCTTCACACAGAACACCTGCAAAACTATTGTAGACCAATAGTCCGTGTTTTTTTAATTCTAGGACAGCCTTCAGTTTGTGAGACGTGATTTCGACAGAGAAGAAGGATAGGGATAAGAAACATATTAACACTTTGAGGGCTCTACAAAAATGGACTTTAAAAAAGGATTTTTTTAATGCAACCAATTGTTGAGCTATTATAACTGACATGGTGAGACAAACCAGATCAACCAATCCAATAACCTTGGATATTATTAAACAAGCAAAATTGTTCCCTATCCTACATTCCAAACAATCTTATTTATTTAATTGACTTTCCTTATTTTCCATACAAAATGTCTTGACAAGTATTTAATTTTTAAAAAGACCAGTCGTTCAAGATGTAGTGAACATATACATCACATTTTAAGACCAACCCCATTTACACATTATGCTATCAAAATTCATAAAACTCAGATATTTATTATCAACGTAGACATTGGAACATATCTGAATCAGTTTAAGTTGCTATGTTACAACATGAGCATAGTAAGATAAAATTATCGAGACAAATGTTAAAATATTGGAGGTAGCCACAGTACTAGTAGTAGTAGAAAACAGCAGATACAGATAAAATCCCCCCCAGGTTTTCAATGGTAGCCTAGCATTGACTGGTTCATTACTTCAACAAAACTCAACAATCACCACAAGTCTATACTCACAATAGATAATATGACCCGAGAATGAAAGACAATCTTTTTCAAAGCTTAAGATCTAATGGAAAACAATAAGTGAATGCATCTGGGCCATTGTGAATGATTAATTGGTCGACCAACGGTAACAACTACAATCAAGTAGTCTGAACCTAACAAAACGATCGTGCAGCTATCAATTACTTCATAGATTGATGCTATATTCCGGTTGAGTCACTCCTAGTGTAATGAACGAGAACATCAGTGGAGACAACCGAATGTGTGTGAATACAAAATTATAGAATATTTTAGTCAGATCCGAAAATCCTACAGTAAATACTTCATTTGCAAAATGCCAATCAATTGTCCCAGACTTCATTGTTCCTTCGTTTGCACAGCAATCATCCACTATTCTCATCCTCTTCTCTTTGACCTTAAATTTCTGCTGCCAGACATTCCACTTTCGATTGATGATACATACTAATTATATCTGTCGACACCAGTAGCACACACCACACTAGCTTTCTTCCAATCAACTGTCATACTAGCACACATTACATGCCGAAGGCGGTGATTAAGTATATGTAATACATATCCCAACCAACTCAATCGAAGACTCGCTACCTCATCAACTGATTCAGCATTTTTACCTATAACTACGTGTTTAACTTCAGAAATGCTCACTTAGTAGTCATAACATACACAAGCACCGTTTACAAGGAATATATAGACAAATACTAATAACCCGCATATATATTCTATTTTCATGGTTTAGGCGTAGATGCAGACTAGTCCAAAAGCAAAATTATCTTAAGAATCATGAAATCACTGTGAATTTTGAAACTCCAATTATCCACTAGAATATTAATTTGCAAATCATAGGCACAGTCAAGTTATCCTCCTTTACAAAAGCGTGATGTATCCCCATGTGATCCAAGTTGTGTAATTATTAAGCGATTTCTGCAGCATATAACGAGTATAAATGATAAAAACATAGAGGATCTTTAAACTCTGAGCGAGTGATTCCAAAAAGCTGTTCTTAAAAAATATCCAATCAATTAACTTTATTACGAAATAATGGTGTTTCTCCATTTGATATAGCATCAGATCATCATTTGCTGGTCGCCAAGATGAAACTAAAACTTAAGAAGCACTGGAAAACGGCGCGAACAACATCACAAAAGTTTAATACGGCCTTTCTTCGTGATGCTGACAAACTCAACGAATTCAACATAGCCCTCGGCAACAGGTTCCAGGCCTTCCATGATCTACTCAATGGAGAGGGAACTAATATGGAGAGCAACTGGAGAGGTATCAAGGAGGTAATCATTTCAACATGTCCGGAGGTTCTGAGCCACAAGAAGCCCCACCACAATGAATGGATGGTATTTCTCTATTGTATCCTATTTAATGAGTTTAAAGAAAAATCAGTAATATTTCTATATTACTTTAAATAAAAAAGTAGTTCAATCTAAATGTATAAAATAATTAATCCAAAATATCGATATTCCTTCTATAAACGTTTTTGATTAAAACAGAGAAAGAAGTACTGCTTTTATTAAAATTCATGATTCAGCAAAAAAGACTTCACTTTTTCTAACGCTTTAGATCGATGTGATATGGAATTTTTGATAGATTTATCCATTTCAGCATAAGTTTGTTTAAAGTTATCTGGTTGAAATATACAATCCCATCCAAAATCACGTGGTCCACGAGGTGAAACAATACAACCTGGTGTGATACCAGTGAATAGTTGTACTGGTTTATCGAGGCTATCACAATAGGCAAAAGTGCATACAGCATCTGCACGATAATCATTGAAGTCAGTCAACATACGAGGTAGTCCTAAAACAAGATATTTAAAAGAAATGAACATAAAATTAGTAGAGATGGCAAGGTAAATTGAATATATATTTATAATCAGTTAGATACTAAATTCATGTTATTCCTGTGGAAAGAAGTGATCGTATCTACTACAAAAAATGGTACATAATAAACGAACAGGTCATGGTGAATGTTAGCGGTCCTTGACTTAAGAGGAGGCCATCAATCCATGGAGTTATTGAGTGTTAGTCTAAACTATGTAGTAAAATCTAGACTTTCTGACTACGGTACACACAATAATTATAATTTATTACCGGTGACCTAAGGTGACATATGGCTTACAATGGACTGCAGTGCATACATTCATTTTCGTAACCTCTTCCAAATATTGAGTTTTTCTATTAGAATTGCCTTAGAAGATTAAACGACCCGGTCTTTAGCTGTTTGATTAAAAATTTGAAACTGAATCCTCCTGTTTAGTTCCAGACTTTCGGATTAGTATTGAAAAAACTGTACGTGGTGAATGAGCAGAACTATTAGTATTGGTAATTTCAGAATAAGCGATTCCTTGAATATTTGTGTACTTATCAATATTAGATCACAATATGTTATACTTGTTCAGTTTCTAGTCATTCTGGATTTAAAATCGGGCTGTTGCACATGGTAAGTGAATGTATAGTATAATTGAAACATTGGCTGGCATCTAATCTAACTAAATAACATAAATACATAAAAAGGCTTTCAACTCGTTAAATGACTTTCAAGAATCCAAACTGTTTTACAATAAAAGCCTTTAATTAGCAAATATTGGGCTAAACCTTCATTTGAGATCATATAACCACGTAATATATGATGCAATTCATCTACCATGAACGGATTCAGTCACTTGGTTTGGAGGTTTAGTGATATTACTAGGCTGTTCAAACCGAAGTGAAGGAAGTGATGTTCCGACATGTGAACTAGAGGTCGAAGCTTCTTAATTATAATTGCATACACACATAAAATATTTCCTATATGAGGTTGTTTGAATATACGGATTAATAGTAAACACTATGTGAGTAATATCAAATAAATAATCACGCAGTCATATTAAGTATTACAAATATCCTTAATGCTCTTATATAACAAGCTTTCACCAGTACCGGTGATATAAATGATTCGTCTGGAAACCGAATAATATGGTCTTATGGTGACTCATCTACTACTAATATTATTATTAATGATTTTATTCAGTATTATATTTGTGCCATGAATAGCTTATGTGGTTTAGAGGTTGACTAAACAAACTCAAACCACTGAGTCATAAGTTCGAAACCAAGCTTAACTACTTTGGTGTGGGCAACTGGGTAATAACACTAGCCCACATAGTGAAAGTATAAATCAAAGGTTAGCACATAAACCTGTACTTGGCAAATGAGTTGCACTAATTTAGATTGACATTAATGAATAATTTGTTGTCTAACAATGTAGGTTTAAATATTGTGGAAACAATGAACTGCTTAGAAGTTGTATACATACATTATTCTATATGTAGGTCAGTCAGTCAGTCAGCTACAACGTAGGACCAGGCATATATATGAACCATTGGTTACGATAGTCGCACGGACCCCAACTAAGTAGTCTGCATCTACCAACATGGCTCAGACTAGAAGTTAGTGACTTCAGGCTCTGATGCCACGTTTTGGTTTGGCCGCCCCTAACTCTCTTCCAACCAACCCCAATACTAGTCAGCGTTGCGCGTCGTGATAATCGGTGTTCAAGCATACGTAACACGTGACCCAACCATCTCAGTCGATGAAAATTCATGACCTCATCAACTGATTTACCATTATTCCCTAATATCCTGTGTCTAACCTCACTATTACTTACCCGGTGATCTCAGCAGATGTGAGCAATATTTCTAAGGCATATGAGGTCAAATATGTGGGTGTAATTAAGTATAAGCAAGTTTCAGGACATCTTAACGGCTAACCATTAAATCCCAGAACTATTAATGCAGACGGTAAACAACTTTAGAATAGCTTATGAATCAATAATAATCATTACTTTGAGAAGATAAAATGATGATGAGAAGCAATGTCAACATACTACTTAACAGATGATTATTTCTTAATATGTACTCAAAACCTATAGAATGGTGTCTTACTGTCTAAATCAGTTGGCTTTCAACTAGTAGGTCTTAGATTGTATGAAAAACAGCTTAATAAAACTGACATCTGTTGGTCTATCAAGACTACCTGTCTGAGGACCTTAAACTAACGGCCAATGACTTAGAACAAAAGCCAAAGACCATCCTGATGTAGTTTTCTATTACAATTTTAATAAAGGTAAATTGAACCCCATAAAATGAGAATAAAATCCATCTTGGCTGTATCTTTAATTGTACGACTATTCACTCATTTATTTCCTCACAACACAACAATCTCATTTTTTGATGTTCTACTGTACCAAAATTCATAAATCCCATAAATAAAAATAAGCGGTCAATAACATGTTTGGACTTCGTTCTATATATTTCCATTAGCGTAATTGGGAAGTATTATCAGTTCACACACGAGTATATAATGTGACTCAGAGATGAGTACATAAATCTGTGCTTGGCGAATCAGCCAAATATTTGATCAGTTTCCTTGGTCTAATAACCGGAGTATCATAGAACCCATGGCCCCTAAATACCCTGGTAAGGTCGAGAGTGAGGAGAAGCAGCTCTCCCTCTCGAAATCCTCTCACATGGCCACGTGCATACAACCACTTCCAGGGAAGTCCTACTCACTGCCTTCTCGCACCAGAGTGTTGTTTACGAAATCGAGAGAACGAAAACCGAATGTCTGGCGCTTTAACCGGGTTGGTGGACATGGAAAGTCCACCTAGGGCAGTTGGAAAACCCTCATTCCAAACCAATGATACACATGGGCTCCAGTATCCTGAGGGAACGAATGGCGTATAAATCAATCGTTGGTCACTGGCTACCATGGGACTGCATCTCCTTACGATGTTCCATCGCCTTGTGGATCAGACCTTTAGGTCAAAGGCTCCGGGTGTGTCCCCCTAAGAAAACCACCTGTTTCAGTTTGGGCACCTGGGCAGTATCACAGCCCTCATACAAATCAAATGAGATTTGTGCGGCGCATATTTATCTGGTGCTTCCTTGTACCAATATTTATGTGTTTAAATAAATAAATAAATAGCACTCATGAAAATCAACAACAAAGTACCACCATATAAAAACCTCAGTATATACAGTTTACAATCATTCACAAAAGAAATTGTTTATTAACAAAAATGAAACAAAACAATTACCATCAGGACCGACCGCTTTTAAAAACCATTTAATAAACGGTCCAGGCATTCCATTCAGTGCTTTAAAGCAAAGTCCTGTATCTTCGATTAATACAGGTCCATTGATTATTTTAAAAGCAGATAAACATTTTTGTATACTAACATCTTCGATACTACCTTGAACTTCAGGTAAATCTAAATCAACTGTTTTTACCTATAAATAAATGATGATATTATCGTACTATGAAATAAGACAAAGTACTTTTCCGGCAAATTCCTCACCAATAATTTTAAGGAATTCAGTTAATTTGTTTGGATTACCAGTTACAAAAGTTAACTGACGCGACATTAGTCTAAAAAATAGAATAAAATGAAATGCATAAATTATTGTTTAATGGGTTAGATAATTCTTTTTTTAAAACAAATAAATATTGGTACAAAGGGGCATCAGATATATATGCACCACACAAATCTCATTTGATTTGTGTGGGGGCTGTGGTACTGCCTGGGTGCCCAAGCCCAAATATAGGAGGAATGTTTAGCATGGGGTCAGAAACTACATCTGGTAGAAAGCAACCTTGCTAAAAAAACACTAACCAGACAAAAACAATTTGGACCATTCAAATTTTGCCCTGAGGGTTGAACGATACTCATTCACAAAAATTATAACGTCTCATGGGGAAAGCTGAGATTCTTCGGAAGCCACGTGGTCGATGCCTCATCTAACAATCAGGGCAACAATTAATATGGGTACATGTTACGCCTGGACAATGCTGGAGACTGAAAGGACCAGACAAATAGCTGAAGAAATGAGGATGTATAACTTGACGGTTCCCGTCATAAGAAAAACCAATTGGAACCAAGCTGGACATAAAAGATTGGATTTGGTAGAGGTGTTGTTACATTTTTATCATTAAGAAGAAAATGATTCGAACGCACAACGAGTTCCACTGGTTTTGTTCAAAGAAGCACGAAAAGCAATTATAGGATGGGAATCTCATTGATCCAGAATCATCACAGCATCCTTTAAAACAAAGGAAGCAATCACAATGAATGTTATCCAGTGCTATGCACCCACCAATTATAGCAGCAACGACGATAAGGATTAGCTATGTGGGAGGCTGCGATCGATCGTAAAGAAGTGCCCAGGGAAGGACTTGACCATCCTGATAGACCTAACCACCAAAGTCGAAATGGACAACACCAAGTAAGGTTTACTTTATTTCATTTAAACATATAAATATTGGTACAAAGAGGCATCAAATACATATGTGCCACACAAATTCGATTTGCGTGAGTGCTGGAATACTGCCTCGTCGCTCAAACCGAAGCAGAAAGGGACGAGAATAGTGAGAGACCTGCAAATTTATATACCTTCAGCGAAATGGTTATAAGTGGCACTATATTTCCTCATAAACTCATGCACAAAGCTGCATTGGTCTCACTGGATCATACTACAGAAAATCGAATAGGTCATATTTCCATCACTAAAAATTCAGAGGGTCAATGGATTTAAGATAGCTCTCAACAACAGGTTCAAAGCCTTACAAGATCTAATCAAAGAAGAGGGAACTACTATGGGAAACAACTGAAACGGAATCAAAGAAGCAATAACTTCAAAGTGCCAAGATGTGCCGAGCCACGAGAACCATCATCATGAATGAATTTCTATCGAAACCCTGGAAAGGATTTAAGAAAGCAAGAACAAGAAGACAGCAACTAATAACAGTCAAACAGCAGGAGGGAAAGCCAACGTGCAAGCCGAATACACAGAAATAGGCAAATGAAGAGAAGTATTGACAAGAAAAAATACATGGAAGACCTAGCAATGACGGTGGAAAAAGCTGCAAGAGAAGGAAATATGAGACAACTTTGTGATACAACGAAGAAACTAGCAGGGAGACAAAGTAAAACAGAGTGACCAGTCAAGAACAAAGCAAGCTGATGATTTAGACTCAAGAACAGCAGAACAGGTGTGTAGAGCACTTCGAAGAACTCTTGAATAGACCAGCATCACTGAACCTACCATACATCGAAGAAGAGCCTGCAGACCTTCCCAAAGCTCTTACCCCCCCCCTCCAACAATCAGCATGGCCATCAGACAAATCAAAAGCAGGAAAGCAGATGTAGGACCAGACAACATGCCAGATGAGACACTGAAGTCAGACAGAAAGGTAACTGCGAGGATGCCCCACGCACTATTCAGAAGGATTTGGAGGGAAGAGCAGGTGCCAACACACTGGAAAGGGTACCTCATCAAGATACCAAGGAAAAAATATCTCAGTGATTGTGAGAACTACAGAGACATTACACTACTATCAGTAACAAAAAAAGGTTTTAACAGTGTTGTTGAACCAAATGGAAGATTTATTAGACGCCCAACTTCGAGATGGATAAGCTGGATTTCGTAAGGCTCGGTCGTGAACCGACCAAATCGCTTTTGAAGGCATGAATAGGAGAACCTTATGGAACATTCCTACCTGAGGTCATCAAAATTATACGAAATTCTTACGAGAGACTACAATGCACAGTCGTGTATGGAAGCCAGGTGACATATCCACTCCAAGTGAAGACCAGTGTCAGACAAGGCTAATCAATCCCGCTCTTTCTCTTTCTTCTGGTGGCTGATTAAGTGGTAAAGACCTCCACATTTCAGGGGAAGCACGGAATACAATGAATAGCATGAATGCAACTAGAAGATTTGGACCTCGCAAATGACCTAGCTCTTCTATCCCATACACCAACAAATGCAGGTAAAGGTAATCAGTGGAGCAACAGACTCTGAAGCAGTAAGCCTCAACATACACAGAGGAGCAAGATCCTCAAGTACAACACGAAGAACATCAACTCGATCAGACATGATGAAAAAGCTCTGAAGGATGTGGAGACTTCCACGTACCTGGGAAGTTTCATCGAAAAACAAGGAGGATCTGATGCAAATGTAAAGGCACGAATTGGCAAAACAAGGACAGCATTTCTACAATTGAAGAACATATAGAACTCAAAACAACTGTTAACCAATATCTAAGTCACAATCTTCAATACGAATGTCAAGACAATTTACTGAACAGAACTGAAACTTAGAGAACTACTACAACCATTATCAAAAATGTGCGGGTATTTATAAACAATTGTCTACGCAAGATACCCAATGTCCGTCGATCAGATACCATCAGCAACAGCCTACTGTGAGAGAGAACAAACCAGCTTCCAGCTGGAATGGAAATTAGGAAAAGATGTTGGAGGTGGATAGGACATACATTGAAGCAATCACCAAACTGCATGACGAGGTGAGCGTTAACTTGGAATCCTGAAGGGAAAAGGAAAAGAAGAGAAACAAGAAACACATTGTGTCGAGAATGGGAGGCAGACCACTCAGAAAACTCGAGAATCCTCACCAAAGACTAAGTATTTAGACGCGTAGAGAGAACTCGAGTGTAAAGATAAAAAGAAATCTAGAAGCGTTAATCGTCTTTATACAATATACAAAAGCTAATTCAATACTTATGCAGATGATATATATATAAATATAGATATGCCTGGATTAAAAACGCGACTATAGTTGCATTGCTTGATTATAATCAAGCATATACTTATTTAGCTTAAAGATATTGCTTGCCTGTCCAACGACAACTTACATAAATCACCGATGGGCTCAATATTATGTACCAACTAACACCTACTTCCGGTCCCCTTGAAATAATTTAACATTAAATGTCAAGACATAGTTTTCTTGGACAGTCCCGAGGCGCCCAAAATTTTCACATGCTTACTGTTATTTCTATCATGAAAAAAGGCACAGACCCACACACATGTGAAAAATTTTTACTAACAGTTATAAGTGTACTTAAATACAGAACAAAATTTACGGTTGACATGACCACAACTTGTAAACGAACCAATCAGATTTAGGATATCAAGTCTTGTTGTTCAGCGCGAAGTCCATTCTTCAATGCGGTAGAAGATGGAAGGAATTATACTCAACGTTTTCACTCCTACTTAATATATCACAAACCAGAATAATGGTCATGTTTACGTCCATGTAGTCACTTAATCCATCATAGTATGATTTTTTATCTCAAAAAAAAAACTAGATTATGCTGTGAATTTGGCTGTGGCTGCAATTTTTATTTGCCACGTCTGACTGTGTTACACAGGACATGCATCGCATGTTGGAATGATATCCTAAGTCATAGTAAGCCTAATCAAATCGTTGTTTTTTAAGTAGACTCAGTGAATAATGATGCTGGAGGAAGGTTTGTTGTGCTGTAAACTACGTTTCTATGCGTAAATGACTGTCATCTTCAGTCTCAAAACAATATCGTTTGTCCTCTGTTAGGTAGGTGTTACTGGGTTTATAGACCTAATTGTCGACATGTAACTACTTTGAGTAACATGTCTGAGCAATTGAAACAACAGCTATGACACCTGTTTAGTGTAGCGGTAAATAAATCCCTAAAATCAGTATCTTTGTAAGTGCTCGACATTTGATACTGAACGCATTACCGCATAAATTCAACAGGTGCATCACACGGTATGTTAACTAGTGATGTTTTGGAACATTACGAAACTGTAGTTAACGTTGTTCTTAAGCGTGAAGATCTAACCGATCGACAAAGACTAGGTCAACTCTTCAACAACAGACATGTTACAACAAATTAGGGTCACTGGACAACTGACCTTAGACGATGGCCTATCCTGACAACTTTTCGTACCTGAGCTTTCATAACAGGTTCAGGCAGTTTCTGGCTCATTTCAAAACAACTCTACAGACGAGCTGGCTGAATCTGCCGACCGAATTCTAGAAATCAACAGAAATTCTAACGCCGGTGTTGTTGCACTCAAAGGAAAGCTTCAAACGACACATAATGACGTTACAGGACTCTTTTATACTTCAACACGTTACCTTAGTATTCGTCTTGACAGTAGACGACCCCAAACTCCTCATGCGTGTACTTCACGAAAACCACTTGCCTCTAGATCAGTAGAGACAAATAACCCAGATCGATGCTGGTATCACAGTCATCACATAAAAGCTTCTAGAAACAATGGAGAACACTGCAGCTTCTCGAGCCCCAAACTGACCAACACGAAAAACTCTTCGGGGAACTTCTATGCCAGTACGCTTTAATGGAAACCGTAGACGGCGAACATAGCAGTCTGTTATACATTACGAAAGTTCGCCACCTCATCGACATTGGTGCATTTACCGGCGACACCTAATGACCGACTGCACGAAGCAGTATTCAACTTTCAGGCGGCAAATGGGAGACCGGCCACCATATATTGTAAGCAGTACGTTTATCTTAACGTGAGTTTGTGTAAACCCATCACGGAATCTTCGTCGTT